AAAATAGTTGACAGTTTTTTTTTTTTTTTTTTTTAATGTGGCATAATGCTTTCTCAATGTCCTCGAGAAAATACATGTACCATGAAACACAAAATATCACGCGAAAAGACGAGAATTTAGCCGCCAGCAGCGTTTGAAACTGCGCCTACGCAGGCTGCGCCTATTAAAATCACAGTCCACTCGGTTAGGGTTAGGAGGGACGCCGGTCAGAGCCTAGCCTCAAACTCGGTGACTAGGCTCGAAAACGGTTTGTTGCCCCTGGGGTCGAGTGTTTTTTGGAAACCTTTTCCACAAGGGCGCCGCCATCTTGAATTGACGTCACCTCCAGTATGGGCGAAAACGTAACTTTGCCGTTGCCACGCCAATAGAAGACATTTAGGATATAAGCCTAACCGTCACACATTCTCGTTTTGGCTCGCCTCTATTTTTTTACTAGTTACAGGTTGAAACGTTTTACTTTTTTTTCGTCGCCCATACTGGAAGTGACGACAATTCAAGATGGTGGCGCCCTTGTGGAAAAGGTCTATACATGGAGAATAGAAGGGTAGGAGAGGGCATGACGTCGGTCGCGTAGCCTCCGCAAGCCATGCTGCCTTGACGCCTCGCCTCTTTCTCATTTTCCTCTTTACTCTTTACTCTCCTCACTTACCATGCCAACGTGACCACATCACGTGACCGTAGCTAGACTTCGTCTTGCTGTGGGGTACTAGAATACACCACAGTCTAGCCTTCGACCTGATAAAACCTACCGGACGGAGCGCGCGCAAGCCTGCAAGGAGTTCAACCAATCAACCATCCATCTCACACGTGACATGTCACGCGCACCAATCGCCAGACAGATCTGCGGTCACGCTGGGCACAAAATCGTTTAAACTTTTTATGACTAGGCTTCACCAATATTGCAACGTGCCCCCTCCTCATGGAGAATAGAAGGGTAGGAGAGGGCATGACGTCGGCCGCGTAGCCTCCACAAGCCATGCTCCCTTGACGCCTCGCCTCTTTCTTATTTTCCTCCTTACTCTCCTCACTTACCATGCCAACGTGACCACATCACGTGACCGTAGCTAGCATTGGTCTTGCTATGGGGTACTAGAATACACCACAGTCTAGCCTTCGATCTGATAAAACCTACCGGACGGAGCGCGCGCAAGCCTGGAAGGGATCCTTCTACAATCAACCATCCATCTCACACGTGACATGTCACGCGCACCAATCACCAGACAGATCTGCGGTCACGCTGGGCACAAAATCATTTAAACTTTTTATGACTAGGCTTCACCAATATTGCAACGTGCCCCCTCCTAGTACTTCTAACCTCCTTGACTCAAACGAACTCGCCAAATGCACCGAGTGAAGAAGACTGATGCTGCCGCCATCTATGTTGTAGAAAAGGTACCGACTTCAAACCGAAACTAGCGCCTTTCTGTTCGGAGTGATGCGTGGGAATGCGAGAATGCAGTCGCTAACAACGTTTATCTACAAACATTGGTCGCTGCAACCTGTAGTTTATAGTTGCGATGACTTCAAGCAGCTAGGCTGCCGTAGAGATAATTACAGACTGCGTAAATTTCCGCAACCAGCTGTCTACAAAGCAAGTGGTTGCGATCTTTCAATTCTTATAACCGTTTACACTGAAGAAAACTGATGATGCCGTCCGAGCAGAAGCTTGATCCGTTTGACTATGGTATTATGCGTGAACCACTGAAAGGGTACGGCTTAAAACTAGCCTGTTGGAATATCCAGCAAAACTGGGACTTTCGATTAGGATTGTCATTATAGGTGGATTAGATATTAGCCTTGGTGAGGGCGTCGAGAACGAGAGCTTTCTCGAACAAAATACGACGGGGCAAGTTAGCTGACGTAGGTAAATGTTAAACATGATGATGTTGCCCAATCCTCGGGTAAAGTCTCCATCTTTAGCTTTCTCTGATGCTTATTGGGCAGTCAGAGGTTTCTGCTGGGGGAGTTTTGTCGACAAATGTTAAATTTTTCACCCGCACACGGATGGTGATAGACATCTCGGGGGCCGCTGTTGCGTTTGTTCTGAGCATTTCTTTACACACTGGTGTATTTCAGCATTTGTACGGCAACAGAGCTATTTAAAACCTGCAAATAAATCACGGGTTGTCAATTGCTTCCTTCGTGAAATAGCAGACGCTCACAATTCAAGCTCGCGTTTGATTTCGTTGCCCGCGGGACGCGATTTCTATCAGAAAATCTACTTTTTTTTTTTCCGTTCGGTTCCGGGACACATCGAAGCAGACGAACCCTCGTCGTCTGCTCCCGCTCCTTGCCGGCCCCACCGCCCCACCGGAGCGAGGCATGACGGGATTGCATTTTGGCGCACTCCCGATTTTCTCGGTGCAGCGAGTGCATGCACGCGTGCGGTGTCAGCGCTGAAACGAACTCGGAGAGTGCAACCACTCGTGGAGTGCCGGCCGAAACGAACCCGTTCCACGCTGCGAGTGGGCACGCGTGGGCACGAGTGCCGTGAAACGAACTCGCTATAAGTTTTGTGCCCCGCAAGGGCGTGACTTTTTTAAAAAAATTTCCTGAGCGGCATCACGCAGCAGACGACACGGCGACGTCACACCATTCACGTGACCCGCTCCGGCCAACCCGAAAAGCCCATCTCCGCTGCGAGCAAAAATCGTCTGCTTCAAACGCCATTGCCTTGGAAATTGCCTTCTCAAAATTTGCACAGGCATCCGATATATTAAAACTTTGATAAATGGTTTAGTGCTTTACTAACTTCACGACAGACTAGTTTTGAAAAGTGTGAACTCGCCGTTCATTTTTTAATCAGCCGTGTTGTGTCGATCTCCATGTATTCTCCCATAGGGCGGGCCGCCTCCTGGAACCCTGAGCACCACGTGAGTCGCGCCGAGCTGCTCCGTCGGCCATGTTGTCGCCAAAACACGGGGTTCAAAGGATTGCGCTACTCTGCTCCGTAGGAGCTATATAGTGCTCTAGACCGCGCCACAAATGGTTATGCGGAGAGCAAGTGTCTGCTCCTTGCATTATAACCTCCTTGGCTTCTTGCATAGGAGTTTCGATGACGTCAGAACGACGCCGAGCTACGATTGGCTTTGATTGAAAGGAGTGCGAAGACCTCAGTGCTAAATGCCTTGAGGTCTACCCATTATGTTTTCAAGATTTTTTCAGGATATCGAGATGTGGCGCTCTATAGAGGCCACCTTGAGAACTAGCACTGTGTGGCAAACAAACCTTTAGACCACAGTCATTAGTGCATTTGCTACCATAGAAGACGACACTAGGCTCGTGAAAGATATATGTAACACTATTCTTTTATCCTAAACGCATCTAGATAGAACTAATCCAGTCCCTTCTTTCATTCGATGTCATCGAAGCCCTCCTGGAAGGCAAAACAAGCACATTTTTAGAAGTGGCTGATTCAGAGGGGGGGGTTTGGATGTTTTGTTTGAAAACTTCTGTTCTTCCTCTCCTTCATCGTCGTCTTTCTTCCTAGTCTCAAGGTTATGGTGCATGATGCTCAGCCAAGAAGAGCTCGGCATTCTGACATCACAACCTTTGTGCAAGAAGCACACAAACTTGCAGTCCGGACTAATTACGCAGTTTTGCTTTTTGGTAATGTAGCACAGGGTCGTTCTCAAAAATGCCCGCCTGGTTTCAAAAGCATTTGGTTGCAGGTTCTGAATAGTATGATGAGCCCTGCTGCCCCTCACACAAAGCTCGCAGCTCGCCATGATAAGTGGATTCGTCGTCTCCAGCGTTCGCTTTGCTGAAGTGGGAAGAGTTCGTCCTGCTCTTCTTGAGTTGCAACATTGAACATTACACTTTAAAGTCCCAATATCCCTGAAGATTACAGATGTTTGTTTGCTGATGCATACATACCCAATTTCTCTAAATTCAGGTAGCGGTTTGAAATTCTTCTTAAGAAAGTTACCGCAGCTCCTGCCGAATAAAGAGCCATAGTTACAGCATAAAAAAACAACGAACAGAGTCATATCTACACACACAGAAAATATATAGCAATAAATTTACACACAAAATGCTCCCCTCCATGAAGCCCTCCACACAGACACAAAATATATACAGCAATTAATTTACATACTACATACTCCCCCCTTTCCAATCACTTTATCTTTAAGTTAGAATTTACGGATTGGTGAATGCTCACTCTCCGCCAAAACAGAGAGCATGCTAGCGACCTGGACCAGATGCCATAATTTTAGAACTAATCGCAGTCTTATAAAGAAGCTATAAGCAATGTTTAAACATTTTCAGTGGGAAAATCAATGCTGGGGAAAATAGGGGGTATCAGAAATGGACCCAATTTTCCCACTGAAACTTTGAGAAAATCACCTTGACTTCTGTATACGAGGATGATTACGGTAGTGCTGAAACCTGGGGCATCTGGTAAATAATTGGGGTTGTGTAGATATTTATACAGCATGTAGTTGGTCAGCCATTTCAAAGTTGCGACGAGTCACTCGCTGTAGATGAGCAATTTTGCCAGTGCAGTACAACTGCTAGCCTGGGGACTTTAACGTGAACCATGCAGTAGTAATACATGACCGCACACCGGCGGGATGCTCGTCCAGATCGAAACGGGCAAGGATGGGGATCGAACCCAGGATCCCTGGGTTCTGCAGCGCGAGCTTTCGCTCCACGTGTTTCGAGCTGGTGTGCGCTAGACCACTTGGCCACCAATTCCCCTGGTGCATCTGGCCGGGACTGCAACACATTTGGGCAGCAACAACAAAATTTATATAAAAGAAAAAATGGTGGGACACATTGTATTATATTTACAATCTATTTAGCACAATTTTCTCTACACAAAAAAAAAAAAAAAAAAAAGCTGCAATTTTATGTTAGAAGTTTTTTTTTTTCTGTTTTGAAACAAAATGTTATTTTAATGGACTGTGCTTAGGTCATGCTTTTATTCAATAGCAATGCACAGCTTGGTGACAAAAAAAATACACGTTGGCTTCTGTATTCCATGAGACAGAGTCGTGTTTATTTTTGTTAACAATATTTACTCAAAAAAGAAAAAGAAGGAAAGACAGACAGACAGATATAGACACCTCTTGACTAAATTTCCCCTAAATTTCTTTGAACTTTGCTTCCAAGCTGCTGGTACACTCGAGGGCAGTTCATTGTACTAGATTAGTGTCTCAACAAAAGTGCCATATAAAACAAATATTGCTCAGAAAGATCGCTGCAGTGAAGATGAAGTAATCTCGGTTCAATAGGTTTTAACAATCCATCAGAATTACACAGATTCCAAGAAATAACTCCAGTAAAGCGGTGCTAGAAAGGTTATAACTAGAGACTAATATATAGTTGCATAACCTGTTGAAATACAGTTAGGTCAGAAGAAAAATTAAAGTGTGTAGTGACACAGGATACTGAAAGTTCACATCTATGCAAGGGATCTGCTTTAGACTCGATTGGATGTCTTTCATCAAGAACCCACATAAACCTTTTATAAAGGCAACAGTTTTATCGTGACTACTTGTCTGTACAAAATCTTTGCAACCACATTACCCCTCAGCCCAGCAGATGTGGTGCAGTGGAATGATCATACGACATTCATACGACTTTCACCTTGCTCTTTTTGACACACTATGCACACATCTTTTTACAATGCTTCCAAGGTGACATTCAAATCTGCAGCTGTCTGGAACGCCACAACACATCACCAAAACCCACAACAAACAAAATTCCACCTCCAAGCTCAGTGTATATGTCAATCTGGTCACAAGAAAGTGCCAACCTTAGTCCAGGAAAAACAAGAAAACTAACAAGTATTGCAAACCTAAATTTTTACCACTTTATTAATAAAAAATAAATGTCTACATCTCTATTATTCATAAAGTCATATATAATTTTCTCTCCCGGAACAGCAATCTACTTTCTCACAGTGGCGGCCGACTGTGCCATACAAAGTAACTCCCACCCAGTTGCAAAATACTAGAGTCAAACTGACCATGCGCATTCTTACAGCATCGCAATTCCAACCTCTAGCGTCGGTTTGAAACTTTTTATAGCCACTTTTCAGACGTGCTCAGCGGCCTGTAGAACCTATTTACATAGCTATGAATGGTTGAATCCCATGATTCCACACAATTCTGTCAGTTTGTTAAAAACTATATAGTCTATACAAAGGTTGCTCCTTCCCTCCCAAACCAAAAAAAAAAGGCAGCTTAGAAAATATTTGCACTTCTGAAACCTCTGTTCCAACACAGCACTTTCTTCCCAGAGAGTGTATAATGCCACCAGGATATGAAACGGAACAACACTGAGGTCCCAGTTTTGCCTTTAGAGATTGGGAAAACGGATAGATTGCTTTACAGAAAAATCCCGTACAAGCCACACAACATTGCAATCTCACAGAAGCTTGGTACACTACCAGTGATCATATGCCAAGGCCGTTCCCTTTCAGATCGTCGCAAGCCTCGCAAACTGTTAATTTATAGCATCAATCTCTCCAAAGGTAAATAATAAGAGTGGTTGTCTGCACAAACTTTGGTTCCATTGTAAGCTGGTAGCATGTGTGCATTACAACTGCAGTCAGCATTGTGACCGTCATTTGAGTCCTAAATTAAATATAAATAAATGTTCACAACAATTTTATGTGTCCACATTAAGAAAATCCCACATTGCAGATGAGGCACTCCTTCAAGTGGATAAGATGTTGAGAAGTACTCTTTCCTTCGGAGCCTCACAACTATTTTGGAAGGAGTAGTCAACTACAAAAAAGAGCAAATCGGCATTCCAATTAAGAGCACCACACAATGCTTTACAAAAAAACAAAACACAAGAAACATAACAGTTCTTGCTTGGTTAGATTTAAGTGTTTCCGTAAACAGTAAAAAGAGCAGGATCTAGAATTGCAAACACATTTATAGAGAAATAATTTGCTGTTTCAGTGGTCAGGCAAATAGCTAATTGTCCTTAAACAACCCCTTAGTGCTCCTTATATGCTTTGCTCTTTCCCATATCCTGTTTAACAAAAACTATCTCCAATGATAAATTCCAAACAAAGTTATGTTATATAGTAAACAAAAAAAACAAGCCACTATCCATAGTAATAACCAGGGAACAGTGAGATAGCTAAGGACCTACTTCCAGCCAGCTAGTCCAGTAACCAAAATGAGGGACCAGAGAACTCCGGAGCAGTTGAGCAGTCAACAGGTAGTGACAGAGGATATGATGAGCAGAAATAATCTCATTTTAAAATCCACTTTCTCTGGAGCCGGCCATTCCCTTTCTAAATTCAACAGCAGCCCCCATGAGCACGTATGAGCCCATGAATGTTGCAAAAAGCAAAATCCAAGTACTATCACCTACCATCATATAATAGTATCTATTGATTGGCTCAGTTATCATTACTGTAAGCAGTTAGCGTGGTTACAGCAAACCCAGTTGCTATCCCAGCGTAAGCCACCAAGAGACATAACTCACAGGGACTGCACCCATTATAATCCTTTGAATTCCACAAAACATTGATTAGCAAACGAAACGATAAACCTATAGTATACCCCATTTTCGCCAAAGATGAATTACTAGACAGTGCCGAGATACGCTAAACTCCGCAATCTTTGGCCATCCCGAGCCTCAATTTGCCGCATTATTGAAACGGCAACATTGTGCCGATGAGGACGAATTTGTCGACGGTGTGACGTCGAACATTGACCCAATGGCCACGGCTGCATACACCCGTTCAGCCGGAGCCCCTGTCTTGCAAGGTGCTGCCCACACCTTTAGGATGGTGCTACGCTCTATGTGTCCGCAAGTCCTCAATAGTCCATGGTCTTAATAAACTCGACAGCCGAACAGAACTGGGTCCACCAGTAGGCAGCCTCGCCCTCGAAGCGCTCCTGGTGGAATGTGTTGACAAACTGCACCGTGGACAGCAGGTGCGGTGGATTGGCTTGGATTAGGACATACACCAAGACGGGTATGAGGTCGTCTGCCGCCGGCACACCTCCCGCCAGGGAGAGGAGGCTCATGAGGGCCGAGCAGCAGGCCGCCACGCAGGCCACCTTGTCCCGGGGACTCTTGTGGGCTGCGAGCGCGCCCAGGTGGGCTTGCGCACTGGGCCACGGGCACTCCGCGTGGTAGGCGCGCGGGATCCGGAGGTCTCGGTGGTCTACCGTGACCACCCGCGACAGCTTCTGGATGTGTTGGTGGAGAACTCTGGAAATGAAGACCGCTCTTTAAGCACGACGGTCGGGGCTGCTGGTATGGCAGAAACTTGAATGACATAGACTAGAGCGGTGTGAGTAACGGCTTGAATCGAATAGTGCTGCATTTTTCATAGCTTTCAGATTGCAACAGCAAGCCACGGCGTATTTGCTTTCTTTAGAGTGTTGATGCCAGTGATGAGAGTGCGCTATTCAATTTGAAGCAAATTTGAAGCAACATTTGTACGGCCCTAGAGTGAAGGTTTCTTCCGCTCTCGGCAAACATTGCAAGCAAAATGCAAGACGATTGTCACAGAAAATATGAAACGCTGTTGAGAACTAAAGAAACATGTACAAGATTTTCTCTATGTTTTGCTAATTTTTTAACGTACACCTTGTTCCTGAGGGTCTTTGACTCAAGAATACTCGCATTAATTAAATCACCGAGTCCTTAGAAAACAGTGAATCGTATGAACTAAAATGGAAGGATAATTGGACGCATCTCGGAGCACTTTAGAAAATCAATGCCTACGAAAAAGCAACTTCATGTAGTAAACGGCATTAGGACCAGAGACAATCTCATTAAAAAGTCAATAAAATTTGGGAGATTTATATGCCAAACTAACGAAGGGCATCTGCCATACCCCAGCGGAGGACCGAGGATTAATTTGGACCACCTGGGAATCTCTTGATGCGCAACCAAAAGCTCAATTACACAGCATGTTCTCCACAATAGGCCTCTGTCAGATTGCAAGCACCTCAGCTGGGATTCAAACCCGCCACCTGGGAATCTGTAGGCCAGAGCTTTGCCTAGAAGCGACCGAGGTGGCTACGAGACAATCTTCTTGTTAAGATGCAAAATATTTCTATTTACAAGCGCCATATGATGTTTTAGTCATATTTAAAGCTCCGTGTTTTCGGATTAAATCGAAAAACTCCGAAAGACACCCGCCGGTCAAATTTTAATCAATTCGGATTTATCCGATAAACTCAGAATTTTGATGTGCCAATGCCCCCCCCTCCCCCTTTCCAATAAACTAAATAAAGATGCTATTTTATAATTAAGTTTGATCAGCGCAAAGGGTCAATGGTCCCGGGAAAATGCCACCACAGTTATCTTTCAAATCTTGGTTCACTGACAAAAGGGGTCTCACCGATCATCTCGTCAAGGTTCAGAACGACATGTCATTGTGCATTCGGGTCACGACAAAAGCCCCTGTATTGGTTTCCAGTTTGGCCCATACTATTTGTGTTTTAATTAAGAGGAGGAGAGGTTGTGTTTTCGTAACAGCTAAAGCTATATATGGATCTTAGAGATTGCATAAAATTGGAAGAGAGGCGGTTGAAACTTCCCTATTACGTCCTTTACCACTCCACCTCGCACGGCCACGGGGTAGCATGGAATAGGATGGGATGAAAAGGTGCTTCCCAGTGACTACCTCCACGAGTTTATTTTTAAGGTGTCGGCGTTCATCCAAGCCATAAATGTGTAGAACTTTTGCCGTGGGACAAATTACTTACGCCAATGGCAATGGCACCAACACCAAACCCAGCTGAAGAAATATTATTTGATATAAGCGCATTTTATTTTTCCTTATCTAGCATACATATACACCCGGATATTATTTTTTTGTTTTTCATAAGAAACACTGCGAAATTAAGCTCCGATTTTCGAAGATTTTGGAATGAAACAAAAATAAACTCCTATAAACTCAGAATTTTCGAGAAAAAATAAACTCCGAAAAACACCTTCAGAGTTCGACGAAAAATAAACTCAGAAAACACAGAATCCTAGTCATATTGCAAAACACCGGCAACGGGCACAAATAAAGCCCCACGATAAAATCCACGATTGCCATTTCTTAAAGGTATCGCTAATCATTGTGGGAATGCGTAAGACGTGCCACGGGCGAGTGCTCCGCCGCCGTTTGCTTCCAAGGGCAAAACAAAGTGTACGCCTCATGCAGTGGTGCATTTGACAACTACTTGCAAACACAAGTGCATCAAGGGTCGTTGGGCAGAAACAGGAGTTCCAGCAACTTTCACTTACAAGAAAAAAAGATCTACGACTTGAACATTCTGAACATTGATGATATGTTGGCATGCGGATGATTAGCACCAGTCCAGGCCAAAACTGGAGCAAACTAGCAGCAAGGGTGTATCAATGTCTGGACACCAAAGACATAGTGTTGTCCATGCACAAGGAAGCATTTTAAGGCTGCCCCAGCGTTTCCAGACACCAGTTTGAAAGACAAGTTCTACACAGTGATGTCTCATTAATATGGACTCCTCCGTTTCCCCTCCCCAAAAAAAGCACTCATAATACGAGTTGTGCATAATAACAAAACAAAAATGCACGCATTTAGCCAGTTCGTCTCTGAAAGCATTGTCTATATGCAGTAGAATCTCGTTACAATTTTGAAAAAAACCGCAAAAAGGAAAAAAGCTACTCGAGAAAACATACAATCCGAATTTACCATATTTAGGCAAACACACACACAAAAATAAAAACAAGCAAAAACAAGCAGTTCTGCAATGGCATCGCGAAAGTGACGCCATTGCAAAACAAAAAGAGTCCACATGGCACAGGAAAAGTCATGCAATGGGATGGCGTGGGCTTCGGGCAGAATGCGAAACCAAAGCTGCCAAAGTGTTGGCGAAGTTTAAGGGCACAGGGTTAGGTAAAATTGAAAAAAAATTTGATTTTAGTTTTTTTCGCAATTTGAAAAGTTTAGTTCTTTCTGCACATTTTCCATTGTCCCAGTGTTTTTAGAAAGCTATATTTCGGGCTGAAAATCACTTCTTCCGAAAGCAAGTAGCAGGTGACCACGCCTCCTTTTGGGATACACTCCCTGTTTATCAATGAATTCTCCAACAAAACAAAATCAACACAAGACCTAAAAGCTTGTCCAGTAACAGATAATCTCAAAAAATTATTTCGCAACTATTGCATAGCTTTTTTTCAACCAAGACAATCACGAGACGCTGTGCACGTCTTTCCCAGGTGTGTAACGTGTGTACATTCAAGTGTTTGTGTTTTCGTAACGACAAAATGGCGCCATTGAATGCTGTTCCTTTATTCAATGGTGGCAGCATTGCAGAAGCCAATGTTTTGAAGTTTTGTGGATGGAACCCTGTGTGGAAAGCCCTCAAGTGGCTGAGGGAAGTTGACGTCACTCTAATATACTTTACGGACCAAGCGACATGGCAGGTCACAAAAGAGGCCCGGCATGCAAGGCGATAAGCCTAAAGGCGAAGACATGACTTTAGCAATGCTTTTCAAGCTGGTGGCTATTGAAAAAATGACTCTGAGGCTGTTGGTGCCAATAGAAATTCGCTATTCACCAGTTTTTTTACTTTAAACTCAATTATCTCAAAACAGTGTTTTTTAGTACATAGGTACCATTTTTTCCTTAACCTGACATTATAGAGGGTTGATTTTTTATTCCTACCACATACATGGGTGTTCAAAAATACTGAACTAAAATTAAAAATGTGCACCTAGCAGTTTTTGAGTTACGAAGTTTTTAATAGATGAAAACAACTAAAATTTCAGTACTAGAATAAAAAAATATATAAAGAAAACTTATTTTAGATTGGTTCAAATAATTCTAGTTCAGTGGATAAAACACAATATTTCGAACAAAATGATATTTACATGACAGGAATACTCCTAATAGTCACCGAGAAAAATGTTCCTCAACATGGCCTCAAATGCATGGGGAGTATAGGACTTACCCTGTGCCCTTAATAACACAACCGGAGCTGAACCAATGCAAAGAAAAACACAAAAAAGTGCCAGATTCATTCACTTACTACTAGCGCTACTACTCCCTTGTACATCCTAGTCTAGAGTCACTCTTGCAATCGGCGCTTTCAACCCTCCGAATAATGCTTTAAAGTGCTTTGGAGTTTTTGAGAGCGACCCATAATCACGTGTCCACTTTGGAAATCTTTGAAAAGCCATAAGCGTACATACTGCTCCAGTGTTGACAACTGAAGTGAGCATGTGCTCGCACGGGCGAAGTTCGGTCGGTAGACAGCCGTATTTGGGTTCAGATTTTTATGCTGCTGCTTCGGTTGCTCGTTACAACAGAATTCGTGCCCCTTTTGCCAGCGATTGCACCCAAAAAGAGGAAAATGAATGACGGAATTAATGGACGCGCTGTTGTTACAAGCGGTTAGTATGCCGACGAAGCGGTCCGGATGCTAACCGCCAACAGTCAAGAACGCCGGCGAAGAGTGCCAAGGTTTTCGTCCAAGCCACCGTAGTTGTAATCGAGATGCGTAAAGTATGTACTTGGAATCCTTTGCTATTATTTCACGGGAAAGATTTTTTGATTAATCTATAATGAGCTAAGACAGTAAAACTGCGCTGTGTGTTCTGCAATTCCAATCAAAACGCCCTTGTGCGCACGGACGACTCTCGGAAGTTGAGGAGAACAATAGACGCAGTGGCGGCGTTATCAGCAGGCAGACTGCTCCGCATGCGCGCGCCGTGTTGTATGCTCCTGAGGACGGCTGCTTGGCGCTCCCTCGTCGAGACCGGATATTCAGAGCTCCGAATATGTGAGTCCAACATTGATTGCCAAGAAACGTATGCGGTAATGTTCCAAAAGAACGCCCACTCAAAATGAAGAAGTAAATGGTGAAAAATATGCGGTAGGCGAACTTTCGGTTCAAGTGCCAAAAACTACAAAAAAGAGGCTGCATTTGACAGATCAGCGGTGCATCCGCGTTTATTGCTCGCTCGTCATCGCTGAACCCATCAAAAGATGCATCGCTGTCACTGTCAAAGACGAGTGGCAGCACTTTCTACACCATGCTCTCCCCAGCTTCGGGTCCCATCACCTGTTCGCCACATACAGAGGCCAGGCGGTGTTTCATATCCCCGTCTTCTGAGCCGTCGAGGCGTGTGGAGATGCAGCAGTGCTTGAACGACGTCGGGGCGGCATCCTTCGACAGAGATGCCCAAGCCACGGACACAAAGCTGATGACACCCTGGCGTGACGGTTTCTTGAGCTTCCCTTTGGCGGTGACAGCCCCTTCCCACAAGAAGGAGGACCAATGATTCCTGAAGGCATCTTTAAGAGGTTTCATCCAGCACATGTCTGCTACCTGGAGGATAGACACGCACCCGCCAGGAATGAAAACAACGTCGGTTTCCTTCTCGTAGAGGGCCTCCCGTGCTGGCTCTGTTTAATGAATGGGCGCCTGGTCCGGGACGAGCAGCCGCCTCACGTCGTCTTTGTCGGCACCCCAAACCCTCCGCACCCATTCGAAGAAGACTGGGGTGGTCATCCATCCGTCCCTTGAACAGGTCACTCGCACGTTTTCTGAGAGGAGCCGAGATTCCGTTTCATTCCAAACTCTTGCAAAGCCAACTACACCAACAACCGAAGCAGCTACAAACACGAAAGCATCGCTGCGTAGTATCGACGGTATCGAAGACAAAACAAAACGTGCGACGAGTTCATGCAGCGCCCTGCATTAGAAACGCACAAATACACGTGGAAGACGCTTTCCATATCGTTTACAAAGCAGTGCTGCTATACAGCTTTTATTTATTTATTTTTTTTTTTTGTGAAAGGCGTGATTGCAAGTTTACAACTTCTTTTTATGCTGAAGTTTGTTTGGACCATCAAACCAGAAGAAACATAGAGCACATGCAGAAATTGAGACAATACCTGGGAGTTGAAGTGCAAACAGTGCCCTTGGAGGGATCCGGGAGTTCGAAGCCCACAAACGTGGCACAGAGTGCGGCCGTCAGTCCACGACAGGCACAGCCTGCGTCCACGATGCGGATGCTGGATTTGCCGGCAACATTGTTTGTCTGCTTGGCTGGACAGTTCATGCGTACCGTGGTTTTGTCCATGTTGCCGACACTAAAGTTGGAGTAGTCGTGCTCCAGGCACAGGCTTCCCACAGTCTTCCCGAAGACGGAGACGGCCTCAGCGTAGTCAGCCGGCAGCTTCTGGCTTTCGTTTGTCCCCACTCACATAGACATATTGAAGCGGGCTTTACAGAGGCCCAGGTAGTGGTTCGAAGCTTCGAAGTTATCCAGGTTCATTTGAACTGTCAACTTGCGTGCACGCTCTTGAAGGACGCGGTTGCTCACCGCTCGCCCCGCCACCCGCTCGGTATCCAAGAACTCCACGAGTACTTCATCAAGCTCTTCGCTGAAAACCATCTGTCCGTTGTTGATGGCTCTCTTGAACTTGTTTTTGCCGTGCCACTGCTGTAGAAGGGACAGGTAGTGGCTGCTCCATTTGCGAACACGTTTTCTGTCCAGCTCAAAATGCCTTGCAGTTTTTCTGACGTTGTCTCCATTCTTCTTGAGCCACTGGAAAACTTCCACCTTTCTCTGAATTGTATACCTATTCCTCATGGTCGATGCTGGAACCGAGTGCAGGTGAACAGTTGGGGGGCATACAAAGGAATGACTGTCTACTGGTGTGGAGTTTGTTTGCTCGATGATGATGGTTGGGGGTTTAATGGCGCAAGAGCAACTTAGGCCATATTGTGCCAAAACAGAGGTTTTTATAAGGAGCTTAGAAATGCAATCTAAAATAACTGCAAGCTACAGCTGGTGTATTTGTTTGCTCGAGCTGTTTCTTCTTTTCTTTCGCACTCTGACGTCTTGGATGATTCACTTCTTTGCCTCGCACTCTGACGTCTTGGATGATTCACTTCTTTGCCTTATTTTACCAATCTAACCAGACAAGTATCTTCTCTTTAGTTAGGAATCGGGTCACCGGCAGAATTCGTGGATGGGTCATCCAAGGTTTTTCCAGAGGGGCCATTGGCATGTTCGCAGTGGGGGTTTCCTGGGCTTTTGAACCCGTCGAAGCTACCACGATATTTAAGGGGTGGGTGATGTTTGGGAACTTCATTAAAATATAAATTTCGCCCAAAAAGGTTTGTGGGCGATGCTTTGGGCGAGGGCGTTCTCTCGGAACTTTACGACTATCCGATTGACATTTGGCAGAATGTTGAGCATACTTTCCGGGAAATCGTGTTATCCGGGAACGTATGAACCGGAAAAAAACAGCGCAGTTCTATGGGACGTTTCCCGTGCCCTCACTCGTGAACAAATGAACCGGGAAATCGTATGAACCGGGAAGATATCTATGAAGTTGTACTGTAACGGGCTATCCCTATTAATGGGGCCCATATTAAGGAGGAGACTTGACTGTACTCCATTTCACCAATGAACAGCAGTGCATATGCAATGAGTCATCCCAACCAATTCAGCGCAGCGAATGTGTCGTGTGACTATGCACCCTGCACATCACTTGAAACTCGCGTAGCGTTAGATTTGCTTGGACAGCTCGTAGCGTTGTCTGCAATCTATCTATCATAAGGTGAAACGGAATAGGGTGATAACCAGCGTGCACTCACTGGTCCCTGAGGACGTCTCCATCGCCATTGGGGTACAGCGCGTGGACGTAGATCTGGCTCATGATGGCTCTCTCGATGGTGTGCTGGGCAAGGCTCATCTGTAGGTCACTGGCCACTAGAAACAAAGCGCGTGCATGGCACACATATTTTAGTAACTTTTCACTTTGCTTCCAAAGTCATCACCCTTTAGCTGGGTTTTTCCCCAGAACTCACTCTGCCAAGTTGGGTCCACTTCCATTCCACGGAATAGGAACTGTAGGAACTTCTCCACGAGTTGAGCCTACGAGCAAGAACAAAACAAAATTGGTAAGTAGTTAGAGAAATAAGATTTAAGAGTAAGCAGCCAAGTTCCTTTTTTTTTTTTTTTTTCTTTTTCGTTGCACTTTCCACTGGCAATGACGCGTTGAGGTGTTCCCTCCCTGACAGGGTCCCTTGGCACCGACATTCAAGCCTGAACATGTGCGTAGAAATGCTCAAAGAATAAGAGAACAAAAATAAAAGCCACATTCAAATGTTAAGAAACCAATCACCAAATGTAAGAAAAAGCTTGTTAAGACTGAAGCTTGGACTTGTTAGGGGAACATGCTTTCAAACAATGAATTGGCACGCACAAAAGATGACTACAGAAGAAAGGAGTACATGCATGGTGCTGTGCACCACATCCTTTCATAATAGTAAACTGTAATCACTATAAAAAAAAAAATCTTTTGAGATTGATTTGTTTATGCCAAAAGATCACATGTTTCTGGAAATACAGTTTAAGTTGCAAACTCTGGTTGAGCTCTGGTTAAAAAAAAAAGTGAAACCAATTATTTTATCTTGGAAGTTACTTTCCTATATAAATTGATATTTTGATGGCTTTCTATTTCCAATTTCTGAGCCTTGTTTTGCATATCGCTTAATCATTAGAATCACTGGGGGGCAACTAAATGTGCCCAAAAATAAACAAAAATTATTTCGATCTCTGATCCAGTTTTGCACCCTTAACACTTGGAAAATAGTGACTCAGCCAAAAAATTTCAACTTTTACACTAACATCTCTTCTTAATACCTAATATTTCACTATAAAGTCTTCCATTTTCAAACCAGTGGTACCGTGTTCGCTAAGTAATTATTGCACTGCTCGAAAACGAGGCCCGCATAAATGCCTCCCCGACGAGCACAATCATCCAAGAGAAGTTGACACCATGATGGAACTTAACCCGAGACTGGGGTAGAAACAGAAACTTAAAAGTAGAAGGGGCAGAGACAAGTGAAGAAGAGAACGTCTCAAACGCAGCTAAAAGATTTATTTAGTCCCACATCCTTATATACTCACAACCACAAGGTCACCCAAACACTCAACATGCCCCTTTCAAAGGCATCCAATAAAAATGTTTCCAAATATGCATTTTGCATTATTCAGATACAAAACATCATGCTCAGTGTCACAGCGCAAAGAGTAGCAGTTTTGTGCTGTTTGCTCGGCTTTTTTTCTCCAAATCAGTGGTCGAATATGTATACGTATCAAGCCCTGTGGAAAAGGTTATGCGCAGGCTTTCTTTCTATACTATGTTCCATCCTAAATGCGAATGAAGTGAAAGCTACAAAAGCGAGCTCTGCACTTCGATCAGACCCGTTGGGCATGTACACACAAGCCGTGAAAGCATCTTTCACAGCGACATGCTTCTACCAACCAAGCAAAAAGATTAGAAAATCATGTGACGCGATGCAAATGGATGGCGTCTGCCGGTGCGACATCTCAAAGATGCGTCGCAATTGACTGAAAATTCCGGTGACATTGCGTGGTGCCTCGCTTAAACCACAACCGATCACACATGAAACAGCTAGCACCAAACATGTCATCATGGACGCGCTGCACCAATTGCTTGGTCGCACCAGCGTGTCCATTCTTTGTTCGGTAAGGTTCTCTTCTATGAACTGCTTTACGCTCATGCACAGCATGATGCTGATGCCGAATGCGTTTCATCTTTAACACCCAGGGTCAGACTGTAGGCAAAAACTACTCAAGTGAACCCGGTAGCTTCTCCGCATCACCTTCTCATCCCCGACGGTGAGTCCCTGGAAGGAGCGGCTGAAAGTCTGCAGGTGGTGCTCCCGGGGGTCGAGAAAGTGGCGCACGCACAGGGTGGCAAGGTGGGTCTGGCATACGTCTCGGTCCCGCTGGGTGCGACGCAGCTGCATCTCCAGCTGGGCCTGCAGGGACAGCAGCCCCTGGCGGCAGCGCACCAGGTAGGCCACGTACGGGGCACGCCGACGGTGCTCCTCCTCCAAGCCCCTGCACCAAAAAAAGAACAACCAAGACCAAATTTGATATTTGTGTTTAGACGGTGCAAGTGTGGTCTGCCTTTGCAGTGCGGCAACACTGGTTTACGCCGTAGATGAGAAATCTAGCCGGTGCAGTACCGCCGCTAGCCTGAGTTCTTTAAAGTGCATCACGCAGTAGTAGTAATATCTGACCGCACGCCGGTATGATGCTCATCCAGGGCAGGGGCGGGGATTGAACCCGGGATCCCCGAGTTCTGCAGCACAAAATTTCGCTCTACGTGCTCCGAGCCCCGGTGCAATAAGGCACTTGGCCACTGATCCCCCCGCCCCGCCTCCGCCCGAAGTCGGACTCCAGGCATTGCACCCGCACCAAACACACAATGCACTTCCTTACCTGAGGACCCGCAGGCACTGCAGCTCGTCGAGCAGGCGCAGGCACCTGAGAGCCTCGTGGACGTGGGAGACCAGGGCCTTGTGCTGCAGCAGCGTCGCCTGGGCGAGGAGGCCCTGCAGCAAAGCCACCGGCTCCTGGGGTCCACCCGACGGCAGGTCTGCCAGCGCGAGGACCAATCTAAGCTTCCGCTGCGCATCCTCCAGAAGCGATTCTTCATTGCCATTGGTCAGCCCCGCCCCAGGGGTGGGAGGGACTTCCGACGACCCCGCCCCCCGAGATCCCGCCCCCTGGGGAGTCTGCTGGTGCGTTGGGGAGGTGGGCACTCCGTTGCTTCCGCCGCCGCTGGTCGTGCAGCCCCGGTATTTCTCCAGGATGTCTGCCGCCTCTGTGACCAAAATTCGATGTTTGACGAACGAAAAGGTGGAAGGTACGAAGGACTATGTCATGAAGGAAGTAAGGCTACAATAGTTGCCGACAGGATTAGAATGACCAAGGGGTCCTTCAGATGTCCTTCCCTCCAGCACAGGTATTCTACTTTCGATAATGCTTCAGTGTCACGACAGCTTCGAGCAAGCAAGCTCGGCGAAAGCATGGTGAAAGGCAACGAGCATGCTTCGAGGCCATTCATCCGAAGGAAACGAGGTAGGGTAAAAAGTAATTCAAATTTTTACCCAACCTGTAACAGACCCCGTGCGGTACATTTAAGAAAAAAAAGCCACATAACTGATTTGAGGATTATGACTACACTTGAAGTATATATTATGTTGAAGCAGGTACTAGGCTTCTAGGTACTCCAGTATGCATTCCACCAGAAAAACATATGGTTATCAACACCATTTCTCAACGATAGATTCATTGAGAAGTTTCTATGCAAAGCTATGTTTCACTTCGTTCTGGGGGTATAGAACCTCATAAAATTGGTTTACAGGGCTGGAACTTTGCACGCTCTCCTAAATGGCTACAGAAACCACCTGCAAATATCATGCCGACTGAGTGAGCGGTTCAAAAGTTGACAATCCCAGTTAGTGGCCCCCCTTAATGAACAGTAGGAGATAAATGACACTCGGCATTTCCATCGTGGATTATCACCCAATGAACGGTACTCACCTGAACCAACGTCGGGCAAAAACGACCGCTGCAAGTCAGGACCATTCTGAGTTCCCTCATTAGATTTCCTCTGTTTTGGCTTGAAGCTAAACCGGAACTGAGACAGCTAGTGGGCAGAAAATAAAAACAATGAACACACAAAATCCCTGCAAAGGTTACTAAAAACCTCTTCAGAGCAGTGCAAGCTAAAGCAACGATGCACTTGGTACCTACCTTAGATTTAAAGAAATTCTTGCTGCGCTTGTCTCCGGTGCGATCGTCTTCCTGTGAAAAGTTGCAAAAGCTTTTTAAAACCGACACAATAAAGCCCCTCATACAGACGTGCAAGCAGTTTTTTTTTTCCTGCTTCAGAAATTTGGTTTTTGGTCTGAAATCACATTTTTAAATGGTTTTCCTGATGTTCCATTTATTTTCTCTAAATTCAAAATAGCTACATTAAGAAAACGTCAAACGAAGCTGATGCCAAAGCCAACATTAAAACTTTCCTGCGCTCTCCAATGGGCTGGCGTGAGCTGTTGCATAACCTGCAACTAGAGCAAGCAGTCTAGCGAACACAGCATTTCGTGCACGTCTTTTCGTTAAGTTGGTGCGACCTTAACAGGCATTCATTTCACTCCACCAAACTTCTGGCAACCCGTTGAAAACAAGCTCCAATTCCCTCCAACCTAATGTCTCGTATTACGTCCGATGTCGCATTTTTGGTTTCGCCAGTAGAACCCCTTGGCCTCTGAGACTAAATACTTCAATCGGTTCGCACAAAAAAAAAAAAAAGTTACTGTGACTGGCGATTTGGGTTACTCGCTCAGACGAGTCTATCAATGTGTTGAACCAATTTTGAGGCCAATCGGAGACCGTCGAGATTTCGCCCGAGCTTCCCTTTAGTCAATGCAGCCGCTATACTTGCCCCTCCCGTGGCGGCCTTTGCTGTTTCTTCGTCGCCCTGCAGCAGGAGCAGGGCTTCTTCCTCGGGCAGCTCTTTGACCGCCAGGCTGAGCCGGCCCAGGCTCTGCATGCCGTCCAAGGTCGGGGAGGTCCCACCTCCTGGGGAGAGGCGGTCCCTGCGGGCCGGAGAGGCGGAGCCACTCCTGCCCAGGCCGCTCCCCCCGGACGGGGAGGGCGTGGCCTGAGTTCCCGTGGGCGTCACGTCTTCCTCCCCACCCTCTGCTCCCAGAGCCGAGTCCTGGCACCGCAGCCGCTCAGGGTGGCGCAGCTCCACTTGTACCGCCAACGGGTCAAACAGGCTCATGTCGGACGGCTGCAGGGGTGCGCCGGCGGATGTCTTCGCGGATGACATGCCACTGTCCACTCCGTCTGTGGATTGGCCTACGAAGACCGGCAAATAATCCATGGGACAGTTCAACGTATAAGAGAGTTTTAAAATGGGGGGCCCCAACATTTGGGTGCTCCTAAGAAATCGGGGGCCCAAACGCAACGAGGGTGGCGTCACCGGTTTAGAGGACGGGGTTTTCACAATGCAATGCGGCACACCTGCATTTCGCGTTTGCAGTGCCAATGCGACTAACGAGCATAATAATGAAATAGAAAAAATATTTAAAACCGAGACACATGTGCGCTTAACAAGTACTTTTTGTTTACAAATAGTTCAGGTAAAATCAAGTCAGCTGGGCTAAAACAAAAGATAACTTAAACTCTGCATAAATATTGCTAGCCATTCTCAGCCAAGACAATCCAATCCGTAGCGCTCCAATTTGGAGCTTGTTCTCGGATTGTTTCTTTGCGTTTGTGTGCTGCGTTGATCATCTGTCATTGAAGACTTAGGCCTTCAACTATGCCGACACTGAGCCAAACATGGGCGAGCATGCTATGTGAGCATCCACTTTATATATATTTGAGCTGGAGTGACTTGGAAGCCTTGGAAGTCTCGTTTTTAAACAACGGGTAACATGCCACAAACGCTCAACCGATCGAGCCAAAAAAATCCATTCGGAGTCTCAGAGTAACGAGATGTTGCCACGTCAAACGGTTATCGCGTCTCTTCAGGCTTAGGAATGACGACAATTGGAAGACAATCTATAAAATGGGGCGAGCCCACGCTCATCCTTTGTGATTTCAGTGAGATAAAGTGACGCGAAAGCCAGCTGCACCACTCACCGGCAATGAATGTGGCTAATACGGCAGGGACCACAACAAATTAGCTCCAGAGCGAGCGGAAGGGGTGGTGCCATGTGTGCCTACGCAACTCGGCCCCAAGCAAATAGGGGCCCCACGCTCTTTCTCGAGTTTCGCGTCAGAGGCTGGCACCAATCCAAATCCCAAAAGCAGTTTGGGTTTGGCGCGTGTGGAGTGATGAGCACCTCTCTATATATTTTCTGGCGGTTTCCAAGTCTATAGGGGGTCATGAAAAGGGAACAGCGCGAAAATAAATGAGGGGTGAGTAGAAGAGGTAACGACAGACACGGAACTGACTAGCAACTGAAAGTTTATTTGTGCACAAAACAAGAAATAAACAGGAAAAACCCCATAAACAACCCGTCGCAACGGTTCCACTTACACGCCTATCTGTGATCAAACGAACTTGCCACAAGTCATGATGAAGTTTACGTCGTCACTCTTCAGAGCTAAGGACGGCGCACTGATGCACGCGTCTCCTTTCACAGATATAAAAAAACGCTTCATCAATTTCCCTCAAGGTTTTGTTTCTGTGGTGGGCTAAAATTCTAATGTCACGGAAACTTGGCTCACAGCTGCGTCGGCTACAATGAATTGCGAGGTTGCCAGAGGGGGAGGAACGGAGGGAAACGGAAAGTTCCCTCGCCCTTATGTTTATACACCTGCCCGTGTGTCCTATGTAGACTCTGCCGCACGAGAGAGGGATCTAGTAGACAACTCCTGTGGCACAGCTGACATAAGGGGTGCGGTGGTTGACGTCACAGGCCACTCGAGAGAAACTGCGTTTATTCATAGAGGTGCACAGGCAGGACAGCTTATGGGGTGCAGAGAAAACAACGGGCACATCAAACTTATTGGCGATGCGCTTAACATTGTGGGATAAGGTGCGGAGATACGGCACAACTGGTCTCGTCGCTGGTTTTTGCCATACTTCAGAGCCAGCTGGCTCCTGAACATTTTACAGCGAAGCTGTATACCTCTACCAGCCAAGGATATTTTTGTGTCGTTGTTGTAAGATAAAAAAACACCCAGCGAACAATTGAAGGCAAAACAGCATATCTCCTTTGAAATCAGGCATACAGCATACAGCTCAGTATCCGTTTCAATAAAGAAAACCACAAAACAAGCATCAAAACCACATGATGCACGATAAGGTGCGTGTGACCAATAGGAACACCCTCCCACACATTCCAGTAAAGATTAGGTTTGCAGCTGCTTCGAAAGGGGTTGACCTCAATCAAAGCCTTCGAGTGAAGTGCGAACCGCATAATGCATAATAACGGTGCCTGCTGCCACGGTGACGGCAGCTTGCGACGTGGGGAATGACGTTAGCTAGCCTTTAATATATAAAAGAAGAACCCGTCTATACCCCGTTTCACCTTACGTCTGGACGCTGTGGATGCTACGAGCTATCTTAGCCAATCCCGTTTTGTGGACGTGACCTGCAATAGGCTTTCCGCGCGTTGCTGTGCCCCCTCTCTAAGGTCATGTAACACTCACACGGCCTCTGATTGGCTCCGATGGCTCGTAACATCCGCTGCGCTTAAATGTAAGATGAAACTGAGTATAGCAACCGATTTCATTGTTGCTGCAGCAGCGCAACTCGAAACTTGCAACTAAAGCACGGTTTGTAGATCCCTTCCTTCGTGAAATATCAGACGCTCACAATTCAAGCTTGCATTTGATTCCATCGCCCACAAGACGCAATTTCTCGCAGAAAATCTACTCTTTTTTCTTTCGATTCCATTGCGCAATCGACACATCATAGAAGACGAACCCCCGTCGTCTGCTCTCGCTCCTCGCCTCAGCTATGCGTGACAGGATTGCACTTTGGCGCAAGCTCGACTTTCTCGGTGCAGCGAGTGCATGCACACGTGGAGTGCAACCGCTCGTGGAGTGCCAGCTGAAACAAACCTGCTCCATGCTGCAAGAGGGGCACGCGTGTAGTGAAACAAACTTGCTAACAGTAGTCCTATATCCTACCAGAGCGGCTATGATTAGCACGGTCATAGCCGCTATACATGCACTCGTGTTGCCGCAAAAATGTCCTTGTGGTGGGATGAGCTCAATACACACTGCATTTTCCGTGTCTTCAACCCAAAGGACTCAGATGCATTTAAATTTCCTTTTGACATCTCGATTACCGTGTTAAGTTAAATTAACCAAAGTTAAATTTTGTGCTTGTCTTCTTTGCCTTCCACCTGCTATTTGTATGCTGCTGGGATCTTTTATGGAAGTACTATGCCCCGCTTACCCTAAGCTGACAGAGCAGTGGAAGTTACATGCTTAGCTTGCTACTCCAATCAACTGGCTCCCTTTGATCACCTGACCCTGCACTTTCTGCATGGGCATGGGTGGGGGCGTAATCATGGGTTAAAAGACAGACGCACAACTGGTCCAACGAGCATGTGCCTTGTACAAGAGCCCTGCACAAGCCGGAATTTCTAAGCCCGGCCCGACCTGGCCCGGTAAAGACACAGCTCTGTGCCGACCCGACAAATTTTTTTTAGATACGAGCCCAAGTTTGGCTTGAAGAGCTTTGTAGGCTTTAACCTAAAAAGTGTGAGCACAAAGCACACACTCTTTTACTATGCTGGTGGAGTCCATACATTTTCTTTTGTCCACTTGAAGGCTTTTCCAAGTGCAAAACGTCTTTTTGTCATTTCTTTTTTTTTTTTCCGGCGTTGTAGTGATTTTGCGCTGCACTTGTTTGTTTGCATTGAACCTAAAAGATCAATGAGCACACTTTTTGTTATTAACAATTTAGAATTTGCGACGGACGAAGGGTAAGCACACGCTGATGCACGCACGCCACGGCACCCCTGCTCATGCATGCAGGTGATGATCTAGCACTTCCATTTCACATTTTCATCACATTTTCCCTGAGACCCGTTCCATGGATTTACTTTCATATTGCAACACCAAGATGTTTTCACCTAAGAAAAAATAAAACAATGGCTTCTCTCTGGCTGCTCACAAAAAAGATATAATGCAATAGCATTAGGCATATACTACCTGTCGAGTTTCCAAGGCCAAGTGTACAGGGGTGTTTCCAATGACTGCCGCTGCCTTCCCCCTCATTGCACATGCTACATAGCTCCAAGAGTGAGGCTTTGCTTGCTCCTCCTATGCATGTAGCTGTTATGGGCTCTCGTCATCTCCTTCATATTGTGCCACAGTGCCTGCTCGTTACGTGCACAGATGACTCGCGCTGATGACAGCTAACCCGTCAAAGCATGTCCAGTCATGTCCCGTTAAAATGGACTTCGTTAATATGGATACCTCGCTATATAGATGAGGTTTAGGAGAACAAACCGGGTAAATACCTACTTGCATTTTCCCCTCGTTATTACGGACAACTCATAATACAAACAATTTTTTAGGGGGAACAGAGGTGTTCATGTTATTAAGGGACTATTGCACCGCCCCTTCCCTCGTCAAACATGCTCCTCCTACAGCGGGTTTCAACCAATAGGCAGGTGCACTATCAAGCCGCTTACGGACGGGTGCACACAATCGTACGGTTCGGTGGCCCTACTAAGACGATCTCCAGCACTTAATATTCACAACCGACTAGTTCCATCAAAGGTCTTTCGACAGATCAATGTGGCAGTGCAACAGAGTGTTCCAGGGTGCAATACATTGTAATGACGTTCCCGAGTCCCGCGGTTCCTTCGTAGCATTCGTTGAACCGGTACGTGTTGAAACTCACCCTGCGCGGAGTGGCTTTGTGGGGACGGCAGAGCACCGGCCTCTCCGGCGGGCCCCACCCCCTGTCCGGGGCTGAGGGGCGACAGCAGGGTGGTGGCAAAGTCCCCTCCCCCGTGTGCCCCCAGGGGCTGCTGGGGGGAGAGCAGCTGCTTGGGCGACTGCGGAGGCAGCTTGAGGCTGCTCCGCCGGTGGTGTCGGTGGTGGTGGTGGTGGTGGTGGTGGGCGTGGCGGTGGGCGTGGCGCTCCAGCACGGGAGGCAAGGCAAGCTCCTCGTCCCCGCCCCCGGACACCTCCGACCTGGTACAATTAAGAAACGGCCTCGATAAATAATCAAACGATTCAATTTGCAAAAGCCAATGACAGCTGCTAACCCACTATGACAAATGGACAGAGCGCTTTTCACATTTTTACAATAAAGACCACTTAAAGGTAAGCCCTGATCCTTAACAAAAGTTATACGGGCTCGGTCGTGCGGACAAAGACCAGGGGGCACGAAATGTGTCCCACCGAAACTCCCACTCCGTGTGTCAATTGCGCACTATTTTTCAATCTTGTGATCATCTAATTTTACTTTTTATTTCTTATTAATTTTTCTTATCATTTATTTATTAATTTTTTTTCAATTTCTCCAGGGCCATTGGCATTACAGAGGGGAGTGATTTATAATATAATATTTACATAAAAAAGAACAACAGAGCAAAATATTATACACTTTAAAAGTGGCTCCTTACAATAATCAAGGTTACTAACGGCATTTCTAAAATTGTTGGTATCAACAAATTCTATCGCAGATGTGAGAAGGTGATTCCACTTGAAACAGGTGTTGTAAATAAATGAACTATAAAATGAATTGGTTCTGCAAGACGAAACGCCAAATTTGTGAGTATACTTCGTGTTACTAGTTGTGTGCAGTACAGGTGAAGGCAACGCCAGGCGAGGGAAGCACTAGGAAGGATGGGGAGAAGGAAAGAAACCTCCTTTCCTCTCTAACGTTCCCAGTGCTCTCTTTTTCTCCCCTCGCCCTCTATTGCTCTCTCCTCTTGTCCTGCCTTCCTAGTGCCCGCCCTTTCTCTCCTCACCTGGCGCTGCCTTCGCCTGCACTGCACACAACTAGCGACGTGGAATGTAGTGTAATCAATGCACAATTATAAGTACTGTGGCAATGTTTGTATTCGTTGATTTTTATTTATTTTATTTTTAATTTGCTTATTTTCATTTATTTTATTTTTAATTTGTTTATTATTATTTATTTATCATCATTTAATTTATTATTTTCATCCAAAAACCTGCCATTGTGCCAGCACTTTTGCATTGAAATAAAAACATTAACCCATCCATACCAGCTGAGCTATAGCTCAGCGGCTAGAACATCCCACTGGCACAGCACAGACCCAGGTTCGAGCCCCGCCAAGGGCTCAATCTTAATACATCATCTTTGTCTCTAACGCACCCAGCATGTCACTTGTTCGTGAAGCTTGTTACGACGCTCGTTCATGATAATTTTCCTATAGAAAATGCCACATAAAACACATTTTTTGTAAACAAAGCCGACGGGATGCTTTTGGTTATAAACAATGCAGGAATAAGGGGAGAGAAAACTATATCCAGTGTCAACCATTTTGTGCTACACTGTCAAAGCTAACATAGCTTCCACAGTGTTGTAGCCCTGCGCCGTTGCGAAAGCACGTGGGTTGGTCTTGCATCTCATTTGCATGCGCTCGAGCAAATAGACTTGACAGAATTGGAGTACCGCGGATTCAATCCTAGCCGTGACAACGTAGCACAAAGTAGCTTGATGCTGAGTATAGGCCAAATAAGAGAAATGCTAGAAGCTGAAAACTCGTCCATATAAAGCAGCGAAAGCTGTATACAAAAGCAGGCCAAGTAAACTTGCGAGTAATAAGTGCAAAGTAGTTACCTTGCGACACCTTTTTTTAAAACAAACCTATCAGAAGTCATATGCCAAGTTCACGCCACATTATACTCACAGAGAACCAGCACAAGAAAATGAAGAGCCAGGATTGCAATTGTCACTCTGGACTATCAAAAACAAACGCGGACAACATTTCTCTTCTTTCGTTCAGAAAGGCTTGCTGACTTTACCACAATGCGCTTGGCACCCAAACCAATGATGGATTTGTCACGGACGAATGTGGCTAAGGAACTGGAAGCGAGTATATGCGCCGCCGGTAAACCTGCTTTCAGTTACAATAATCGTTCTGTCAGAAAATATTTCAAGTCCATACAAGAAGCCAGTGAGTGCAGCGACAGAAAGTGGCAAAATGTAACAATGTGCTCATTGCTAATCCAGGCATGCGGTTCCATGAACACAATTGGTATGAGCTGACAAAAGAACAATACATCACCTCCTCCTGCCCATGAGTCGAGCAGCTTAACGCTGCTCAACTTTGCCTTTTGTGTTCTGTAACAGTTACTGTGTGAAGTGCAAACAGAAACTTCAATGGTTACATCTAAGCAGGATTTGGCGACACCGAGATAACTGTTTTGGTGTCCCTGTTAAGCAATGAAAATTCTGCACAATCCGCTGCTTTAGTTATCCAAGTTAAAGGGTAGCTCCGGTCAAAAGTCAATCTAAAATAAATGACTGATATCGATTTACGGGGTCTAAATACGAGCACTGCCGAAATATTACACTAATGGGAAACTGCAATCCCCTCTAAAACCAATATGAAAAACCCTACCTTCAGCTTTTCAGCAGGCATTCAGTGGGTTGGCTGTTTGTCAAGCTACCTTGTACCCTGATGTCATTTTCGTACCCAAGGAGATTATTTGTTCCTACTGCCGCTTCTTTCGCCGTTTCTCTGCTGCGTTTTCAGCCGCACCTGCGGACGATTTCTGCCTATGCTATGTTTTAGCGGCCATAGTTTGTAAGTGCCTTTCGGCAATCGCGCACGAAGATTAGTATTGACTTCCTGCTCGCTGAATCGTGTCATGGTGCGGATGGTGACATTCACTGTCGGTCATAGTTAAGTCTGTTTCTGCTCAACGCGAGCTTAAAATTAGCTTCTGCAACGCTTCTGCAACGTGTATCACACACAACCAAGATCATAGTTCTTGTCTGGAGAACTGGATAAGCGAGGACTCATTCTGAGCCTGCGCTGAGCATGCGTTCATCATGGCGGATTCACTCTTTGACCGGCAACTTTACAAATATGTATTACTATTTGCTACAGATGTCCGATATCTACGAAGCAAAGCAGTAAAACAGCCGTAGCATCTCACCTCACTGATCTGAACTGCTCTTGCAACTAGGCCAGTCGTATGTTTTGCACTACAAACTTTGCGTCACACGATGGTCATGCAGCTGATCACCAGGGTTGTCATCATTCTCAAATCGGTAGTTTCAACTTTGCCATAGACTCTTGAAACAAAACTTCGAGATCAGATATCTACACAACGACATGAGACACCGAACAGAAAATAACACCTTGTAATTCAACGACACTTCCTTTGCTAAAAACAGCCGTAACCTTGAAATTGATCAAACGTACCGGAGTTACCCAATGAGGGCCGTACAATGTGTATTATAGTGTTGAAATGACCAAACCTGGTGTCGTCGGAGCGAGCAAGGCTGCCCGTGTCGTCCGTGTCTACGTCTTGAAGACGTTCATTGTCCGAAGCAGTCACGTCCGTGCTCCAGGCATCGCTGCCCGTGTCCCCAATCTCCAGTGCAGACTGCAGCTGTTGGCAACACAAGGCTTGGAAGGAGGGCAAAGCTCATTTCTTCTCTGAAGCTCAACTCCTGCTTCAAGCTAAAAAAAAAGCTTTCTCATGTCTCTATAAACATCTGAAAATGCCATTCAATAGCATCATGTAACAAAGAATAAACATGCCTGCTATATAGAGTTTATAGTCTCCACCTCAAGAACTAACATCCAAACTTCTAAAAAGGACTTTCTCCCTCACACAAAAAAAAGTGAATTTTTAAAATTTTTTTTTGTTTGCATTATGTGTGTACTTTTCCGTACGAAACATCCAAGAAATTACATATATTAAAGCATCACACTGGGTGGAATAAAAATAAAAAACAATCCTCTGACAGCATCTGGATACTGGGAACAGTTGTCCAGATGAAAATGACTTACTTCAGTTATCTAAAAGCAAAGCACAAGAATCTGGTTCTTTTCATTACACGCTTTCAGATTCTCAAGTGCACCAAGCTACTTCCAGTTACTTCACTAATGTTCTGTTCCACGGAAGCTGTACAAATCACGGTAAAAAAAAATTTCTGTTTATGTACGTCCACAGTCCGAGCTGCAAACTTAACGGAAAGCAACATTACAGGGAGAGTATTGCAAGCCATGCACCTGAGACTCCAGAGTTTGGAAGCGGGAAGTGAGGTTCACTTGGTCCAGCATCTCAGAGTCGCTGGCCAGCACGTCGGTGCTCCATGTGTCGCTCACAATGGACTTGGTCTCGTCTCCTAGTCAGGCAGAGAGGAGAAACCAAGTGAAGCGGATGCGCAAATCGTGTTTTACATTCGGAACCACTAGGGCTGGGCCGAGCGGCTGCTGACTAAAGAAAAACTGATTACTAGAGTTTACAGATCTCAGATGACGCTAAGGTGCAAATTTTGCTGCTTTCCGTAATATCCCAGGAGACGCTCCACCCCAAAAGATAACCCACCCCTATTTTTGGCTTGATTTGCTATTTTCTTACGCCGAAAGGCAGCCCATTCCCAGTAAGGTGTTAGGATCAATAATGACCTCGGCGTAAATGCGGCTGGTTACTAATGGCGAAATATAAGTGAACATTGCTGACAGGGAAGTGGGGTCGTCTTTGTTTCCTTGTCACTCACTGCGATAACAAGTTTGACAGGAAAACATGATCTAAAGATAGTGTTTATTCAACTTTTCTTGATTGTACACCGAAAGTAAGCCCATGCCTTATTTTCACCTGATTTGCTATAGATTTTAGGTGGGCTATCTCTCGGGATATTACGGTACATCTGGAACATTGGGGACAAAGTTGAAGCTAAGCAAACTTTCGCACTTTATCAAAGGCTCAAAAGACATTTCTTGGGGGCGGGCCGACGCCTTTAAAGGTGGCGTGTAAGTGAACTGCTAAATCCAAGTGACAAAAACTTCCTTTTAACAGCATGGTCCTGTGCTACACGTGTCGTTGCATGAAATGTTTTTTGGAGCCTGTACCGATGTTTGTTTTACTTGAACAGCCAGACACCTAGGAATTATAAGTTGAGCATACCTTGGACAGGTGCTGCAGGACTGATTTCGAATTTCCCAAACTTGTCCTCGATGTCAGCCTGGTTCTGATTGGTCGGTGGGCGCTCCATAGGCTCTTCCTCCTCCACTTGAGACGAAGGAGTGTCCCTTCCACTCACGTTCGGCGTGCCGTGTCCACTACGATCAAACACAAGGGCCCGGAGGACACAGTATGAAAGACAAAAACACAAAAACTTTACATTAAAGGGACCATGAAATGATTTTAAAATCGAATTTCATCCACCGCACGTCGTAAAAGGTGTGAAAAGAAACACAAAAACACAAAACTAAAGAGCCAAAAAAAATTATTTGCTATAGAACTTTTAAAAGAAAACTGGACTCTTTTGCGCCTTCCTTCCTTCGCCTGTTCACTACGATGCATCCGCGGAAATGGAGCACGTCAGCCAAATCCAGGTCGCCTATTGGGTAAGAGCCTACCTCACCAGCACCGCGATCGTAAACAATAAATAGCCGGCGAATGTTTCCTAAAAGTTTTGTTAAATAATATTCAGATCCACATTTTGTAGCATAATTAGAGATGTGTGGCGAAAATTGCCAAATTTGATAATGCTGAGAGCCAAGCGCCATCTATCGTGTGGTAAACGAAGCAACCACTGCGCATGCGCAGTAGGGCAGGGCCGAGTTCAGAACGGTTATTTCCTTTGGTTTCCTTCCTCTCAGAACTCTGACTGACTGAACGTTTATTTTTCTACGTCTTCATCTCGCGCGTGCTGACTTCAAGCAGGAAGAAAAAAATGTACTTAAAACAGACCACGACGAACAAGAACGCTGGATCCACAAACACCCGAGAAGAGCGACAACAGCCGCGAATCCCGCTCCTACGAAGCTCTCATGATATAGGCCTAGCAGGCACTCCGACTCGGCGCAGCGTTGCTTCGTCGCAAGACCGTCTGTCTGCCTACGACCGGCTGGCGTGCTGAATGGAATATGCCCGCGCTACCCTTGTGGACCCTTCCCGTATTATAGTTTGATCGCTGACCTCAATTTTAGGTTAAGAGGTGAGGTCAATCTCTTCCTTTTGTTTTTCCCAGGCAGGGTTGAGGAACACTCGTCGAAAAGGGACCCTCGTCAATTCTCTCTTCTTGTTTTGTGTGATATAGAGCTGAAATAAACGCTGTATGGATTACCTTCGTAACACGGTATGTACACTTTGTTATTGGTATGCCATTTTTATTCTGACAGACTGCACGTCACTGTCGAGCTGTAACAGTTCGTGGGAGGTATACGCGCAATACCGGTCCAACCTTTCTTTGCCGAGTGTCGCGTCAGTATCGAGTTGCAATCGTAAAAGATCGGTCCCGAAGCGCTTACCAACAGCGCGAATACAGCACTTCCATCAAACGCGCGCGTCCGCTCCGAGTGTGAACAGGTATTTACGTGGCTCTTGCTGACACTCGTAGTTCAAACGTATCTTTTTTAACGTCGGCTCGCTCCTGCATCTCCGAGACCGCGAAAAACGCCGCGGCAATTTGTTTCCATCTACGTCGCTTTGCAAACGACTGACACTGGCCGCCTTTTACCAACAATGACAGTTGGGTTAACTTCTGGAGTCTTCACCGGAAGACTCGCTGCACTTCCCAACAGGCATAACGGCGTATGGGACTAGTCCCATGCTGTCGCTGTAGCGCAACGTATCTCATTGAATTTCGCTCAGCTGCGATGCGGCGATGAGAGTCGCCGATTCAGAAAATACGTCGGTGACATCGGCGCAGTAAAACCTACCGGCACACCCCAACTCGTCGCCGCTAACGCTCCCATCTCCAACTGCCGAGAGAACTTCCGGTTTCGGAAGCAGCGTACGTCACGGCTTGTTTTGCGGTCAAGAAAAAGTCGATATTTCATTAATTTTTTGTGTAGAAGTTAATAAACCGAGACGAAAACGGATGCCTGTTCGGCATTCAGTGAACATTGACGGTTTAATGTATAAGTTATCTGGAAAAAGTAAAAAAATCATTTCATGGTCCCTTTAAGTGGGAAGAGTCGTGAACAGTTTTTAACCACACAAGATTAAACAATCATTAAAATTAGGCGTCTCAACCTATAGCAAAAACATTTTTTCCATAAGGTGTACTTTGGTGCGTCACATTCACCCTGTGAAATTTCGATGCAGCTCTGAACAAGGGTGCAAGGGCGAGAGCGTAACCCAAGCATCCATCACTGAGCAAACTCCCTGCCCATTTCAACAAAACTGACTGTATAAAAAGAAAAAAAAAAAAGTTTCTAACATTTTTTTTTAAATAAAAAAAGTGTAGGTAATTTTAAAATCTTTACAGATAAAGCTGACCAATAAAACCCCCATTTCCGAGGAAATTTCTGGCTTATTAGTATTACGCTTCACTTCAACGCGGCTTGCAAAGAGCGAAAGCAGCAGCCCCGTTGAGCCAATCAGAGTGACGGAGGCGAAACGCATGACAGTTCTGAACAAAGGTGCAAGGGCGAGAGTGTAACCCAAGCATTTGGAGAAGTGGGGAAGGAGGAACTCCCTTCATATTCGGACCCTCTTTTGCGTGCCTCAAACGTCGCCTTTGTCCCCTAAAATATTAGCCAGCCACTCAAAATTCGTACAAAAGCAGCCCTTCTCTCTCTCTCCTGCCAGCAGTTCTCGTGGCACTGTGTGCAATAAACCCTTTTCGAAATGATGCATAGATTGCGCGCGGCCGCCATTAGTTGGTTATGCACAATGAGCACGCATTGGACACGAGCGCTTTGTCACCATTCAGAGTGTACTTGGATCGAAACGCATTCCACATGAGTGCTGGATCAGTGCCCAGAATGAACTCGGAATTAATCAGGGGCTTCACGCCGGAAGCGTTGAAACCAACTAACGGCGACAATGCATAATCTATGCATCATTTCACAATTTCACAAAGGGACCGTTAGTGAGATAAAGTAGTCCCGTGTCTCCCTCCCGTCTTGAGCGGCTCACCTTCGTTGTTTGCCAGGTTACGGCGAGATTGAGTGTAGTCTATAGTGATACGCCAATTTTTTTTAACCAATTCTGTAGCGCAACAGATGTGCAGAACAAAGTTTACAGGACGTGCGACACAATTGGTGCGAACGAGCACTGCCAATGTTTTAATATTTTTTTTCTTTCGCAACTGGAAGTTTGTTATAAAAGTATCATTGGTATAGTACAGTAACGTCAATGTTGTGTTTTTGTGCCGTGTCACACAGTGGACATCAACTGGAAACGTGCACAAAAGAAGGCTCAAGTCGCATCTTGTGTCATACCTGACATTAGCAGACACCATGTCCGAAAAGTTGTCGTTTTCGTTCTCGAGTTCCAAGGACGATGCCACGGAATGGTTGGAGGCTCCCTCCGACACCGCTTCCAAGTTGTCACTCGTGCCTGTGTAGCCGAGAGTTTTTGGCAGGCATTAGGCACTCGGAGGAACGACTGGGACCACTAATTTAAAAGCAACCGGACAATAAATCTAAATATTAATTTAGGCATCCTGATAAAAAAGGCCACCAACATGCCGACATCACCGTTTTGCGACGGCAGCTCTTCGACGCCGTTCGAGCCTAGGCTCGCCAACGTGACGGGAGCAACAGGAAGGTCTTTCGACTGCCCTGCCTCTGGCGCAGGCTTCTTTCTACTTTCCGCGACGCTTCGTGACCCTCGAGCGTGCACGGACGGCCAAAGCGTGCCGGAAGGAAACAAGCGTGTGCCCGAGGGCAGGCATCCAAAAGAGACACTTTCCCATTCTCATCCTGTTGGTGACTGTCGAAAATCGCCGTGCCAATTGAAGGTAAAACGTCTGAACGCCCTGTATGAGCCCCATCGTTACTGCTGTCCAAGACACCGACGTCTCTGAGACCCCTCCGTTACCGATGGACTCCTGGTCCTGGGAGAGGGAGAACCTTGTGCGTTTCTCAATCGTCTCTACGCCGCCACCGTCGCAGGCATCCGCCACGGCCCGTTCGACGTTCATCCGCACCCGTGTCTGGCGCTTCTGCTGCTCCAAGCTGAGGACCTGCGGTCCGCGGTGAACGACCACAGACAGATATCCGTTAGAGGAGGCTTCGTCGAAAGCGGGCCGTTGCCAAAGGCAATCATATGTCCAAGCGGCGCAACATACCTTGTCCTCGCTCAACATGCCCGGACATTCGAAGTTGAAGTCTGGCATAGGAATCACGAGCACTTCTTCGGGCTGGGATTCGCAAGCTCCAGAATCATCTTCACCGTCTCCTTTCTTCGGTGTGGACACTGCGAGTGAGACAGGAGTGGCTTTTCTAGGCAGGCAATACCTTACGGCCATGAGACGGTCATGTTCCGAACTGCCCGTAGACCTTTTGCTAAACTGCCCAAGCGCCAAGGCATATGCTGCAAACATATTCACACGTGTTGCATGAGCTGGCGTATGCAGTAGTAACTGTTCTAAAGCAAAATTCTAAAATGAATAACGCATTCGTCGATGTCTTACTTACCGTATTTACCCAAAAATAGGTCGACCATGAAAATAGGTCGACCCCTATTTATTGAGCCCACCGACAATAAAAAAAATTAATTCAAATATAGGTCGACTTTTTTTTTTTTTTTTAAGGAACAGGGGAAAGTTAGGGCAAAAGAAAGAAACAAACCTTTATTTACAGCGCTCTCAGCTAAATCACAGGGCGATGTCAAAAACTTAGTCATCGTCAGAACTTCCAGACATGTCATCCTCATCCGAAGCTTCGTCAGCTTGGTAAACAAGACATCCTCGCAATTTCACAACAATACCTTACTGACGCCTTTGTAAAATGACGACAAGGAGAAATGAAAGAAGGTGGAGGCGGGCGAAGTGACAAAAGAGCAAATACAAAAACGCGAGCAACGCTGTGAGTCCCGTGAGCAACACGCGAGCCGCCGAAAAAAACAAACAAACAAAAGTACCTCCGTTTTTCTTTTTTGTGCGCGCTTGCGAGGGAGAGAGGGATGGAGGGCAAAGTGCATGGTGCATCGCGTTCCTCTCCCTCCCCTTCCCCCTTGCCCCTTGCCCAGCGAGGCGAACGCTACAGGCGTGATGGCGAAACCGACGCTCGAGGGATGTGTGCGAGCCGTGGCCGGCGGCCAAGGGCTGTCGGCTGCTGCTGTTTCGGCTGTTATTGTGCATCAAAAACTTTTTCAAACAAGACACCGCACAGCTCTACGGTGGCACCGGCTAGGTGATTGATAGCTCCATTGATAGCCCTCGGTAGGGTTTCAAATTTTGGTCGTGAATGTAGGTCAAAATTCTTTGGTCACGATTATAGGTCAACCCTTAACATTTCCGAAAAAAAAAAAAAAGAAAAAGGTTGACTTCTATTTGAATAAATACGGTATACTATTTACTTCATATCTTTTATAATGATAAGGTGAGCGCATCCACCGTTCTTAGTGTTCTCCATAAATCCTGGGTCATTTGACAGGAGGAATACTGAGAATACAACCCACCCGTCGGGCTACTTAGTAATTGGAGTCAACACAGAGCTGTACACTCACTAATGTCTCGCTGACGTTTGTGAGTGAGCCTCCAAACTATTAGGCAGCGCTCCGACACATCTCTCGGTAAGTGAAGAAGACTGACCCACCTTTGGTTGGGACCCTCTTTGGGGCATCCGTCGGGGGTGGCAAAGGCCCCAGGAGTGACTCGAGGACTTTCTGCTGGGAACACTCCTCCGCCGGCCAGGTAACTCCCCGCAAGAAGGACACCTGTTTGCAACGAGCAGGGACCAAGCAGAAACATTTCAGTCAACCAACTATTTTATAAAATACTCATGAGACATCTAACTACAGTGAAATCAATTTTCATCACAAACGAGGCATCTGACTGGGATGAAAAAGACAGATCACACTGTTACACAAATTCTGTTGCCCTCTATAAAAAAAAAGTCAAACTTAAAGAGATTAAGATGCCACAGATAATAAGAATGAATTTGCAGCAAAGTACAAGACAGCAATATTTACTTTTTGTGCTAAAAAAATACTCCCTTCAAAATACAAATAGTAGTGTTTTCCTTCTTCCTGTCGTCGCTGCAGTCTCGGGCAATTCTACAACAAAAGACATCCCTCCAACTCTTTTAAAAAAATATTCAAGCATCTCTAGTACTAACAACCTGCACTACGCAAAAAAAAAAAGACGTGAGCCACCGGCACCTCATTACGCAAAGAACAAGAAACCCACCAGTAGCCCCATAGACTCCAAACCAATGTAAGCCACTGGCACCCGCAAAATGTGCTCCCCATCTCGCCCCCACCGTGAGAGGAGCATAAAGACCCACCAATGTCGCAAGTTCCGCCTCCGTGGCGAGGAAGGCGGCCCGCGCGAGCTCCCCCTGCTGGTGGGAGGAGCCAGCCTCAGAAGAGGCCGCTCCTTGGGAGGAGGAGCAGGAGGAGGGGCCGGACGGTGCCGCCTCCCCCAGCAGGGAGTCCAGCAGGGACGAGACGCAGTCCCTGGGGAACCGGTCGTATAGGTCAGCCAGCCGGGGGTCGGGACGCTCCCAGCGCGCCAGGGCCAGCATCTGGATGATCTGGGCCACCTGTCGACACCAAAGGAGGCCAGAAACAGTGTCGGGATGGAAGAACATGGAGACGGCACGCGAAAGACCGGCACCGGGCCGAAGAAGAAGTTGGGACGAGGTCTGACCGACAACTATTGTTAGAGACGGGGCCGGGACAGACACCCTGCCTCTGTTCCAGTCTACATAAACTGGAACCAAAGCAGGGCGTCTACAAAAATTACATTTTCAAATTCCCTGGCTTTCACAGGTTTTCTCCAACTACTTTGTCAAACTTTCCTGAGAGAGAGAGAGAGAGAGAGAGAGAGAGAGAGGATGATTAAAAGGCAGAGAGATTAGCCTGAGCATGTGAATCTACTAGTAGGCTACTCTGCACTGGGGGGAAGAGAACAAGAAGGAAAAGATTGGCAAGATGAAACGAGATGAGGAAAGGTATATGAATGACGATGAGGTGATCAGAAAACTTTCCAGAGCAACTACGAAAAGGACAGGACTAGTCTGAAGTGTAGTTTTCTCATGTAAAAATACCGGTTTATCCGACGGCTTCCCAAATCGAACTTCCAGATGTTCTCACCTAAATGACAAAAATGAACTCGACCACCAAGCTGTGGACAGCCGGCGGAAACAATCCATTTAGGGAGTGAGTGGGGGAAGCATGAAAGACATGATTTCGCGTCATGAAGCTTTTTGGTGAATGTGCAGCACACAAAGAAACGGTCCACTTAAGTACACAACAATGACAAGGGGGAAGTTCATCTTGGTGTGTGCACTCGAGATGAGGTGATTCAGGCTGAATCTCCCGGTTCTTCCGAGGCATCACTTTCAAGCAGACATTTGCATTGGCATGCTGCCGGCTGAGTTACCTGCAGTGCATGTCATGCAACAGACCCGTCCTTTTGTTGTCATGAAGAAAAATTTGTAGAGCCCCTCAACTTGACGTGAAGATGGAGGACCAGCGAAGCTGTTATTTTTACGATGTCTAGCACGATGCCTAGAGGACGTCTAGGACGACCTCAAGAACGACTTCTAGGATGACCTCGAAGACGACCTCAATGACAATGCGTAGAGGACGACGTCTAGGATGACTGCAAGGACGACTTCTAGGACGACCTCTCGGACAACTTCTAGGAAGAACTCGAGGACAACGCCTAGAGGACGACTTCTAGGACAATCTCGAGAACGACCTCTCGGACGACTTCTAGGACAACCTCGAGGACGACTTAAAGGACAAGCTCGAAGATGACATCTAGGACGACCTCAAGGATGACTTCTAGGATGACCTCAAGGACGATGCCTAGAGATGGTAACAGGGGATCAGGAACTCACTATCTAATAATGCCAAGGAAGGCTGACTCACGCTGGTTGCCCCCTTTTTTTTATTTATTCATACTTGCCACGACCAATGGGGAGTTTTCTGTCAACATCTGTGCATGCAGTTTTACCCAGATCCTAGCGCATAACAGCTCGCTGTAAAATGTGAGCTCCGTCCGTTTCTTTTTAATATTCCTCTGTCTCAGGTTGACTGTGAAAGCTCAGTTTCCCTAACTGATGATAAGTGAGTCGAAAATTCCTCAACGTTTTCCATATCTTTTCAGATCCGCCAAATTTCCCTGACAATACCTGTTTTTCCCAGTTTTCCAGGGTGCTGGACACCTGTATTGGCGTCACATTAGATCAGCCTTACACATACCGTAATGTTCTGAGAGGTGCCCCATCCCCTAAAGATAATCCACCCCCTTTTTGGCATGATATGCAATTTTTTCAAAAACGCCGAAATATAGCTTATTTTTACTAAATGCAGTGCCTGGGGCCAATGGTGACATTGGCAAAATCTGGTTTGTTAGTCACGGCTGGAGATAAGCAAACATTGAAGACTGAGAGGGACGGTTTTCTATGCTTCATTGCCCCTCATGAGATATTAAGTTTAGCAAGTTACATGATCTACAAATAGCACTTTTTCAACTTAAATTGATCGCACACCGAAAGTTAGCCAACTCTTCATTTTCACCTGACTTACTCACAATTTTATAGGCTATATCTTGGGATATTACGGCAGGCTTCACTGCTGCCCCTATATCCAGTCTACAAACGATTTGTTAACTCAAGTGCTGACTGACAAATGCACAAGCATTTTAAGAGGCAGGACAGGGTGCCGGCTATAGAGCCAGAGACCCCATGGGTTGACAGCCCTCCAGATAAACCACACATATTGGTTTTACTATGACACCTGAAGGAATCCTCTGACTGGTTTGTTTTCTGGCAGTCAGAGATGCGTCACGTTGTAATCGACCGATTTCGCTAGTAAAATTTGCTATGCTGCTACTGCAAGTGCACTACTGCCTTGCTCCTGTGAGCCAAGGTTATGGCCCTATTGATGCATGCTCGGTGCAGTATCATTTGCTTGGCTCTTTCTGCATAAAGTGATTGCTATAAGGCTATCATTGTGTCAAGTGGGGAAGATGAGTGGGCATCGTTGACAGGCCTCCAAGAATGTCGTACATCTGCAAAAACGAGTATTTCTTCTACCATCATCACTTGACAGAAGTTCAGGTGATGAGACAGGAGAAGAATGGCACAAAGAAAAGAAATAGCAACAGACAGGGGAGGAAAAAGTAAGGAAGCATGAGAAGTGCAGGAGACAGGCCAGGCATTTCAACTGTACAAAGTTAAAAGGTCAACATACTACAGTCTCTACTCTCGGAGGCATTTTTAGAGTACACTTGGTTAAAAAGGAAGTTGCCCATTTGCCGTAATAGTGTAGCCAAGGCAGTGGTAAGATAAATTGTTATGTGTTAGCGTGGAGAAACTGTGCACACATGTGGAGATTATATGGCGCAAAGAGCGTCGTGCAAGGTAGGCACGCGAGTGCTCCGGATATCTTACTTGTAAATGCCACCTTCTGCGGATGCAGTGTAAATGCAACTTTCTTAGAGCCTGTTTTCTGCACGCTCCGTCTACTGCGAGACGCAGTAGACGGAGCGTGCAGAAAACAAAATAATTGGAATGCAGCAGCACCGAGCAGAGCCCTGGTACTAGCTTACAGCAAAAAAAAACCAAAAGCTCGGCACTATCTCAACTCGTTGCGGCAAAAGGAGTCTGCTCTTTTTCTTTTCTCAGCTTTTCTGTCGCTTTCTTTTGCGCTCTTTCTCTAGGGATGGCCAGAGCACGCTCGTTTCACGGAGTAGAGCGGCACCGTATGTCTGAACACGTGATGTTTTAGCCCCGCTGGGAGTAATGCAGAGGCACTCGAGGAAAAGGTTCGGTTGGAGCTGGTGTCCAATCGGCGAGGAGACGAGCACTGCGTCAGCGTCCGGCTGGCAGTCAGCTTATCGACTTCCGTTGCTGGCACCTAACCATATATAGTTAGGTGCCAGCCAAATGATCCCACATTCTACTAAAAAAAAAAAAAATGTGCAGCACCTAATTGGACATGATTTGGTGCCAGCCATATAGTGACACATTCTGTGTTAACAAAAAAAAGTGGGAGTAGATAGAAACTGTTCTTTTTGCTGCTCCCTTCGAGTGTAGGGTTAACCACTTTGTCGAGGACGGGGCACTCATAGATGAATACAATTAAATATTGCCATTGAAATGGCCAGCTACAAATAAATATTGCCGTTGAAACGGCCGGCTTGCCTGCATGAGGTTGAAGCGGGCGATGGCGCTAATGTGGGTGTCGACCAGGCCGTGCAGCTCGGGGCTGACGACAGCGGGGCAGACGAAGAAGGCAAAGACCAAGTCGGCACACACCACTCCGGCCCGTGGGTCGTCCCCTGCCCCTCCACCCTGGGTGAGCGTGGAGTGGAGGCGGCGTACCAGGGAGGCCAGCGCCGGGGGGAACCACAGCCACGAACTGCGCAGCCCCTCCACAAAACCCTGCAGAAGTCCCCACCAGGATCAGCGCTGATGTTCCTCTTGCTTTACTCCTCTTTGTTTCCTTAATTTTACATAGTTCAAACAAACAAATAGTCTAAGAATAATGAAAGCATCTAGGAAGGAGAACTATACTCTGTTTCACCTTACAATGAAGCACAGTGGACACTACGAGTCATCCCCAACAGTGCAGTGCTACAAAACATGTCACGTGACTAAAGGCACTGAGCATTGTTGCACCCCTACCAAATGTCAGGCGAAACTCGTACGACAATGGACTGGTTTGGACGGCTCGTGGCATTCTTGCAGTCCATCGCAAGGCGAAACGGCGTACAAGAAGATGACTAACAATGGCTAGTAAGAAATGAACTTTGATGTGTAATAAAGAAATATATATGCCTTCTTATTACAATGATGACGCAATGTCTTCGACTTCCCCACGTGATAATCATAGCACGAGGAATTTGAATAGATTGCATCATCATTACGACAAGAAGGCTTATATATTTCTGTTTTTCACATTGAAGTTCAGACGTTTGTGGTGCGCTGTATTCGACTGCTAACCTCCAAAAGATAAACCTAACAAAACCTAGAAAGCAAGTGTAACACCTTAGAAGTAGGTGCTTTAAGGGGGGACACTGGCTGGAGATTTAACTTCTGAACTATGCAAGCGACTGAAACGAAATTTGCAGGGGACATTGAACATCAGATGTAGGTGTATGGTGCAAACTTTCAGCTCTCTAGGACAATTTCACATACAGTAAAACCTCGTTATAACAAAATGGGATATAACAAACTAATGGATATAACAAAGCAATCATAATTCCCCTTGCTTGCTAATAGGGAAGAAATGGACATTGGCTATAACAAACTAATGGTTATAACGAAATAATTACGATCGCTCCTTCAACTTTGTTATAACGAGGTTTGACTGTACCTGCATAAGAAGGTATGTCACTCTTTGTCAAGAAATCTATGATGTGCAAATGAACCTATTAAACACCACTTTGACTGCTTGAATATAAAGTGGGGGATGTGGAACTTTGGGCTATCTAGTTTTTATAACTCAAATGTAAATATTTCAGGAAGAGTCATTACCTCAAAATATGAGATGCATATCTGCCCTATGTCAATTTTTGAAAACATATGTAGTTCTTTTTCAATGAGGACTTAACTTAAAGCAAAGTAACGTAGATAGCCCAAATCCCCAGTAAATTTCAGTCCAGAAACATCTTGATCGTGGTATTTGAATACTTTTACCTTCGAACAAAAGATTCCTTCTCATGAAATTTGCAGGAAAAAGTGGAACTGAGAAAAATGCATTCGAACATTGAACTCCTTTACTTTATTACTGCTCACAATGTGTTAAAAATATTTTATATCAATGTAACTATTTGATGTATGCTTATCAAATTTGGTGTTAAGGGTGTATCATTATACATGGCTTGCATTGACGTCACATCAGCCGCCATTGCTCCGTACCATTCTCCCGTGCCCGTAAATTCTTCAGCCTACATTTGACACCACTGAATTTGTTTTTCTGGTCAAGGCTTGCCGAGAAGAGCAGATTCGATGGTGCCAAATGTTTGCCGCAGAAGGCTCCGTACAGGAACCTGGTACGGAGCAATGGCGGCTGATACGGTGCCATATGACGTCACGTGCAAGGCATCTATTTATAAAATTGAAAAGCCTAAATTTAAAAAAATTAATATTTAAAAAAAAATTTGAAATTTAGGCCCATGTCCCCTCTTAACGGGCTGTCTACTTCAAGATCACAAGCTCAGTAGACAAAACAATCTCCAGAGTTGATGCAGAGACAGATAACTTCTTTTATCATAATTCTACCATTATATTCCATCACATCACACAACATTGGCTAAACTTCGTAGGCAACGTTAGGGCAGGCAGAGCCCCCGTGTTCTGAGGCCAAGTCCCCATCTTCCCTTTCCATAGTGCAGAGACCACAAGAAAAGAGGAAAAAGACAAGAGCCAGAGACCTGTGCGAGCCTGGCTAGGCGCTCCAGGGTCCAGCTGCGGTAGGCGCCCAGGCGCCGTGCATAGTCAGCAGAATCCCTGGATCCAAAGTGCCGCAGGCGTTCCTCGGCTGGGAAGCGCACCACTGCTTTGCTGGGGTCAATATCCAGATACAGGTCGTCGTCCACCAAGACCTGCATTGCACCACAGGAGCAGTCATTTTCCTGCAGAGACATTTTCTATAGATTGTCAGGATGTCTACTGCCCTTCAGATTCTGAAGCCCTTTTAGGTTATTCCTCATATGGTTACTAGTTCGTACTATGTAGTACCAAGCATGCTTTCCTACTACTTACAAATGGCATCTTGAGATAGTGAGTTATAGTTTTTCCTGAAGGTGCATTTAGTTATCAGTTCTAGACCAAAATTTATGTCTGTAAAAACAGAAAATGAGTGCGCCCTGTTAGAGCCACCTAAAGGCAATTGCATTTAATATGTGAAATGTTTCAGCATAACAAACGTTTATGTCATCGTTTAGCAGCATGTCTGGCCTGTTCAAAAAGATGCCCATGTTCATGGTGCTCTTCATCAGATAATTTAATGTGTGGCATGTGTACACTTGAAATAATAAACCTGGTTATCTTACTCCTCTCCCAGCTCGCCTACCTCTCCTCCTCACTCCACCCCTGGCCACACAACCTCCCCATTAACCAATCAGCGTCGAGCATCTCACTTTTTCTCTCTCGCCCGCCAACCAATGAGTGTTGAGCCTCGTGGTCACACCTTTATCCAGGCTTCACATTTGGGCTTCACGAAATGCCGAACACCTAGCCAAAGAATGTTTCACGTTAAAAATTGCAACTTGCTAGGTCAACAAACATATCTTCCAATTGCGTATGGGAACATGACTGAAACACTATGTGGGTCCCCACAAGAACAGTTTCTTTTCGTTAAAGGGACACTGACACCCCCCAAATATTTTTTAATTTTTTGTCAGGCAATCTATTATAGTGTCAGAAGACTACCCAATCAATATTTTGCTACAGCATCACATATTTTTAATAAAGTAAAAAAAATGCAACTGCTCAAAACCGCAACTGAAACTGGACTGGGGAGCAAGAAGAAATATAGAGGAAGAGAAAGATACCAGAAGTCATGTCACTGTGAAATTTTTTATTATTTTTTCTTCAATCAACATATTTGCAGCTAAAAAATGGGTATCATATTTTTGTCTGTTTCTAGTATTGATTGTGTGCCTACGATGACTCATGACTTTGATTATCCTTGGTGGCTGTGTGTCTAAACCATAGAAAACGGCACATGACCATGCAGAAGAGAGTGGGCGCGACTTAAACCGGCCATTTCTCGATCAGCGGTTTTCGGGCAGAAAGAAGACTAATTTCGAGCCGCGAATTGTGTTCTGGGTAGTTGGGCTCTCATATGTTATGTACAAATAAAAACCTTGGCGAGCATAAATACACTGTCAGTGACCCTTTAATGCCAGCAGTGTACAAACAAAGTGTTGGCTCAAGCACATTTGGTTTGTCATTCATACTTCTGAAGCAATGCCCAACACTAGGCTTCATTTATCTATCAACCTCATGGCAGTCCCTTAAGGCATGAACACTGCATATTGATGGCACAGTACTGGCATTTTGAGGCATTGTTGATCACCAAAGAAACAATCAATCTATGCCTTCCTATGAGCCAAAACAGAAACGCACACATCCTCTCAAAGTTGTCACCTGAATGAGCGCCGACCGTAACGCCGACGTCAGGAACAGCTGTGCCCCGGGCAGCCCCTCGGTGAAGGCCTTGTAGACCCTGCTGAAGGCGCATGACCCATGCTGAAGCAGACGTCGGACGTTGTCGCACCCTTCGAGCTGCAGCACCATCAGCTCCCGCAGCAGGCCCAAGACTAGGCTCTGGTCCTCGGGAAGCGTCCCGCACCCGTAAACGCACGATACCAAGATGTCCACCGCCGCCCGGAGTGACTCTGAGGGACCGCGCACCAGACAGACGGCTACCAACGCTGGCTCCTGCCTCAGGCCCCGCAGGAGCACCGCATAGGCATTGTCGTGGGCCCCGAGCGCCCGGTACGAGTCCACGAAGCAGGCGGCTTCGAGTGCGTTTAGCCGCTGGCAACAGGAGGCGGGGCTTCCTTCCCGCCCGAGCACGAGGGCGTCCAGGGCGTTGCGCTGGTGCCTCCAGATCCAGGAGAGGTGCTGCAGGCGCTCGACGAGGCGCTGGACGCGCTCGTTGAGGCGCTGCAACTCTCGCTTCTCCGAGTCGACAAAGAGGTGCTCGCGGCGGAGGCGCGAGGCGATCTGGGCCAGCTCAGCCCGCAGGCTGCCCGTGCTCCCTCGTTTCAGACCCATGCCGGCTGCGTCGTCGTGCCTGATACAAACAACAAAAAAAGGCAGAACACGGTGAATACCGAACGTCTCATTATCGACCCTCAGCCAATGAGATTGCAGCATTAGTTGATGAGAAGGAGTCAAAAAGCAAGAAACCTATCGGTGACTACACTCGCTGCACGCTTCAGGGCGCAGCCTGTTGCAGGTTCAGAAAAGCAGAACAAGCCGCTTCCATAATTCTGCTTGCCACAATTGATGGTTTCCTCTCCAGCCTTTGCTCTGCTAAAGTGGCAAGAGTGGAGGGCTTTGTGGGAGGAACCTGCCCTGGCTTTCTTAACGTGCAACAGAGTATAGCGTAAAGAAGTAATGTGCAAGCATCTGCACCTCGCACAGGAGGCTGTCATACTACACAAGTATTTGCTCCACTCAACCAGTTTTCCAAGATGTGTGCAGACAAACATATATTTCAGTGCATGACATGCACCACGCAATCACTGTAGCTTATCTGAAAATGTTGATGCATATATGCAGAAATATTGAGGGAAACTATATAATTTTCTTTCACACAAAAATTGGGGAGATTTTTTTTCTTTCAATTTTTTTTTTGTTGACATCGTCTGTTTATGATGTTAATTCATCCTACATGCCCTAAGCATCCTAGAAAAGCAAAAACTACGATCATGCATAGCTTTTCCCCTATTAAGATGCAACCAAACATTGAAAAACTCTCCTTTGCCCCAAGAGTTTTAGAAAACCAGAAAGTTTGATCATGTGTGGCCTTCTTTCCTCTTAAAAATGCGACCAATAATCATGACACACCACCTTTTCCTGAGATCAATCTCAGAAATAGGGGCAATGTCATGATGTTTGGTCCGTGCATGATTGTACCTTTTGGTTTTCAGGGATGCTTACTGCACGCAGGTTGAGTCGCTGCCATCTAAAGAGGATCTCAAAATTCCCTTTAGTGCCCTTGTAAAGCTTTGTTGCTTGCTTTGGCAGATGATCATGTATAATAAATCAATAAGAAAAAACGCACCCCACTTGTGTCATGAGGATTAAAGGGGCACTGACACCCCAAAGGTCGTATTTATTTTTATTGTCTAAAACGATGCAAGTTGCAGTCATAGACACGCAAAAAAAAACGCATCGCAAAAAAAAATGTTCTTGCGCGCGCGCGCGCCTTTTTATTTTTGGCGTTTGATTTTCCCGCGTCTCGCCTCCTCGCTTCTTTTGATCGGTGACGTCAAAAATCAGGAAATTTAGAAGCTTTGTAGGCGACATCTCTATAACATTTAATTACGGCAATCCTAAAACATGTTTTTTAACGCAATTGCGAACGCACTACGGCCCTTCTTTTTGAAATACCAAAAATCGGGAGTTCGTTGTGGTGCCGTCTCCTGGATTTGTATCCTCCAACGGAAAACAGGCGACACCGCTCCGCCGCAACGCCGGGCGCTCGCTCCTTTCCTCCTCGCTTTGGGTCGCCATGGCAACAGCAGGGAGTGGTGAAAGGAAGTCGACTCTCAGGTCTCTGCGATTTTTGACGTCAAGGCACCGGCGCCGATCGCGCGGGAACTTCGAATTCGGCATTTGGAAATTGTTTTTTTACTTCACGAATACTGAATTCCCAAATCTCAAATTTTGAGGGTAATGTCCCGGCATCGTTTTCAATCGTTTCGGATAATAAAAAAAAATATGATTTTGATGTGTCAGTGCCCCTTTAAGGACTGAGCTGCAAAAGGAAAGCAGAGAAAAATAAGGGAAAAGAAGCAAGAGAGTAGAGAAAGACAGTGAGGAGAAAGCCAAAAGACAAAAAGCAGGAGAACACAAATAACCCTGTGTTTGTCCTTTTTTTTTTTTTTTTTACATACTGACTTTGGGTTTTTGGCAAGAAGCATATACTTATAGCTTTCAATATACCACAGCTGCAGAAATGCTCAAGCAGCGAAACTACCGGTAAGACTAGCTTCCACATCTAGCAGTGTCTTCCATGTCAGCTGACGGATGAATACAGTCTGCCTGGGATGTCCTGATGAAGCCTTCAAAGTGACCGTATAAATCGGCCTAGAAACAAATCACTCTACGATTTACCTCAGAGGTGTCCGAAGGCGATGGAAGCATTGCATGAAAATTTCAAAGAACAAACATACCCGAGTAAAAAGTAAAAGAACAATAACTGACTCTCCTTACCTAAGGTGCCCGTCTACTCTTCACGTACCCTCTGACTGGCGCAACAACTGACAGATGGAGGCAGCGGCCCCAGCTCAAGCTTACTGCCCGGTCGTGCCAAAAGCAGACAATGTTTTTGGAATCAAAAACAGTATGCGCTCGATAAAACACATTAACTGGGCACAAGACGAATAAAACCAATGATTCCTTGAGTAATATCAGCTACATGTCTGCTTTTGGCGCAACTGGGCGGTAAGTCTGAGCTGGGGCCAATGCAGCCATCTGTCGGTTGTTGCACAAGTCAGAGGATGCATAGATAGCGGACGGGTGCTGTAAGTAGGGAAGATCAGTTATTGTTTTTTTTTACTTTTAACTAGGATAAGTTTGTTCTTTAAAATTTTTATGCGATGCTTCCACCACCTTCGGGCACCTCTGTGGTAAATCATAGCGTGATACGTTACCAAGCCGATTTATGCAGTCACTATAAAGGCATCAACCGGATTCGTGGACATGTTGTAGTACAAGGGAAAAGAAGTGGGATCGAGGAAGGAAGATTGCATCAACTGTGTTCTCCCTATGCACTTCAACCAACGTTACTAAAACACCCAGTTGGGAAACTCGCCCTTGAAACCTGGATCGCTGGCGTCCACCGAGACCGAGCTAAATACGATAACAGCGCCACCCTTTAGTGAGTCACTGAACGCCCCCAGAGTACCGAAACTCCCAGGCTCGAGGTGCCAAGATGGCGACTCAATCTTTTTCTTCACTGCGGTCACCATAAGCTTTTAGAAAGTATGTTTTTTCGTAAAAACAAATGCAAAAAGCTCTTTTTATAGGCACTTTTATTGGAGATTAGTACAAAATGACAGGAGCGTGATGTTTGCAAGAAATTCTAGTACACAGGATTTTGCGGCACAATTATTATTGTTTTTATACAGCCATGTCTCACCGGTGATTTCAGGTAGCGTGTCCTGACCTGGGCGCGTCCTAACTTTGGTTGTAATTTTCGGCGTGCCTGCTTGGGAGACGGGGGTTGGCATCCCGGAAAACCTTTCCACCGTATATATTTCGGCATTAAAATGGCCGATTAAAGCCAAAATAGAACCGTCACAGCCGACACTATTGAATGCATCACCAACAGGTACAGCCGTGCAGTTCCTCAAGTGGCCACTGCGGGAGAAATGGTGGCGTCGTGATCGCCTTTAGCTCGGTTCAGGTGTATGGATCGGTGCCACCTTTTCAGAGCAGGCTCTGTAGCAGTTTCCCAACTAAGATGTTCTAGTAACGTTGATATCAACCTTCCTGTAGTATTTATCACTGCCGTGTTTAAACAAAGTTTGTGCAGACTGCATTATTTCTTTTTTCAAAATTCCAGCTATGAAGATTGTTTCTACATTTAAATAAGAGAGAAAAAGAAAGAAAAGATATGTGAACCTCTACTTGATGCTTCTTTAGTGGATGTAATGCTACGGCCAGAGAAGTCGTGTTTTTCGTGCCACTGAAGAGATAAAAACATGGCCATGCAGAGTAGGTCTTAGGACTGCTACTTTCACCAATGACTTGAGGAACTCGACTTTCACTAGTGTTATTGTTTTGGCAAATTTCCAAGTCGCAAATACCACAGAGCTCAATGCAGAACATTATAACCGATGTCTACGTTTGGGGTGAAAGCGAACAGAAAAATAAAATAGGCAGAATTCCTAAGTATCCACGAACGCCACACCCCCCCTCGAAGGAAGTAAATAAAGATGTAACCCAATCGGCGTATTTCATCACTGGTTTTCGAGATCAGGAAATCGAAGCGGGTTTTTAAACCATCGGGGTTTTTCAGCAACGGACACGTTAAATAGGCTCACTTAACTTCCAAAATTTTTCATTAACCTCTGCAGGAACTCGAGGTTGAATAACTTGTGTCTCGTAATTCCCGGAATCAAGAAACTTTCACGCGAAAGAAACATATGTCTTGCGTTTTCGTTTTATTTTTCCTGTCGTGGTGATTCCGAACCGAGCTATTGCCACAGCTGCTGCCGCGTCATGCAAATTAGATAACCAAAACCTTCGTCGATCCATTTCTGAGAATCATTTTGGCACGTTTCGGATTCCCTATCGCACCAGGGGCATATGCCATACATCAAAGGCCACAGGCCATACTGACGCGCGTCACGAGACAGCCGTTGAACCGTGACAACATTCCCCGAATTTCTTTTTTATCCTAAGCCTCGGTTATTTCCCCCAACTTTCCCTACATCACGGATTTCCGGGCACGAGAGCTACGCAAATAAACGGGTCTCCTTCAGGACAGGTGTAACCTAGTTTCACAAACACCTGAAAACGGAAAAGTTTTTTTGCGCTATCAGGGACCTTGATTGGGCCTCGACGCCCTCTGAACAACTCCCCACTGCTGTTCGGCAACGAATTTTCGCGATTCACACGTATCGACAGCCGGCTGAAGCGAAGTAAACAACGAGCGACTTACCTACCAGTCAACGGAGGGTCGGAAAGACTGCTGTCACTGAGGACACTTCATTCATCCGCCTGATTCATAAATACCAGAGAAATTCCCGATACGGCCAATCCGGCCATCCGCCATTATTGTTGTGGTGCGTGCTTCGCTCGTGTACCGCTACGGCAGGGATGGCGCAAGTGGCGGACGCGGCGCGTGCGGGCGTGTGGTTTGTTGCGCGTTTGCACGGTCGTTGTTTTGAAGTTTTGTCTCGCGCTCAGCAGGCTGCAGCAGCTGCAGCTCGTGAGTTCAAAAAGTTTGCATTTGATTTTGCTTAGCAAGGATCGTTCAAACTCAAACTTGATTACGAGTATCCGTTATAACTTCATGCAGCAAAAACTGTCTTTGCCAGTTCCCGGCATAACATGACCGAAGTCACGCTCAAGCACCGAAATCTTGTTCTTGTGGAATATCCCGGTATTGTCAGAAATGTCGACAAAATGCTCAGAACCCTCGGCGGCATCGACGAAATTTCGGAGGTACTCCTATTTTACCAGTGGTTCTGTGTATACACATCAAAACGCGGGCGCGTAGAATTAGTCAATACGCGCACGTGCTCTTTCCACATCACCACTCGGCTCGGTAGTCTGCGTCGCCCTCCGCCGTTCACCTTGGCAATAGTTTTGGCTCTGCCCATCGCAAAGTGCGGAACGCAAGCTCGTCTGCTTCTTGTACAGGGGTTGCGATGATGTCAGAACGCCGAGCCCTTATTGACTGATTGAAAAGGAAAAAAAAAGATAAAATAGTGGGTAAACTTTAAGGCATGTAGCATTGAGGTCTACCCGCTATCCTTCCAATCAAAGCCAATCAGAACGCGGCATCACTCTGACGTCACCGAAACTTGTGCGCAAGAAGCAGATGACTTGCTTTTGTCATTCCTTTCTTGGTTTTGAATAATTGCTGTACACGGACATGTTGGTTAGTGAACTGACACTATAGTGGCTCCAAATCTTGACCATGCACTGCGCAGGCAAGACAAGCCCCTCCCACAAGGGGGCCCCTATCGTTTCGTAGTAACTCGTATCGTGGAATTACGTTTCATGAACAAGTTTTCATGGAAGCATAATTCGTCGACACATTTTATCAACACTTGTTACGTATGGCACGCTGTATGGACATTTGATCACGCATGTATCACTGGGGTGTGCCTTAACCCACTCTCCTGCTTGCATTCAAGCCACTTCGCAGCGACAGTCTGTGGCAGCTTATTACGAAATGTCTCGTGGAGCTTATTAAACAAAAAAGCTAATCTGAGCTCTCGGTGAAACAATTTGATGATGAAACAATCTGTTGATGAATCATCGTGTGATGCAATGAAACATTGTTCGATGAGCTTATTGCCACCACCCACAAAGCCTCCACTTTTTCCACTTCAGTGGAGAAAACGTTGAAGATGAGGCGAGTGAAGGGGAGGAAGCTACCAATCATGACGAACAGTGGGCTTTGTAGGAGGATTGTCTCTTCCTCTTATTTGGCAACCTATTATAGCCAACCTGCCTAGCCACCGACCGTGCTTGACATATCACGGTGTCACATTGTGCCACCCAATATGGCATTATATCAGATCATGTGACTTATCATGAGACAGTTCTTCCAGCACATACGTGATGTCATGTCCCACATGACACATATTGTTCCAGTTATTGTTCCAGTGTCGCATCACGTGACATGGCACGAAAAAGCGCATGTTCCAATGCTTCCTCCGTGTCTTTCCAGACGCATTCAGACCCCTCTCGGAGATTGGAACTGAAGTTCAGGCCTGATGACCCTTACTGTAAGTGTGTCTATGCCAACCGCTTCAGTGCGTCCTGCCTCTTGTTGAAGGTAAAAAAGAACCGAAGCAAAGATGGAGAGCCGTATTCCGTGTCCATCGAAGGCACCGTCAGTACTGTCTACAAATTTCGTGGTGAGTATAAGGCTTCTCTACCGACTGAAACTTGGCATGTCTCCAAAAGAGTTACCGGTGCCATTCCGTCAAATACACGGGCACAAGTTGGTGGGTCGCTGCTGGAAAGCTTGCAGTCTTCTGGTCTAAACTGTCTCAGCAATGACGTGATAATGTTACATGCTGGATGCAGTGGCATAACTGCATGCGGGTGTGGGGGGTGGTCTCCAGCCGACCATATAATCGGGGTTTCGTGTTTTTGGATCAATCTGAAAAGCTAGAAAAAACACCCGCCAGTAAAATTTTGGTTTATTCAGATTTATCCGATAAACTCAAAATTTTGATGTGCGAATGCCACCCTCCCTCCCCCCAAAAAAAGTGTAAATTTGATTTGCGAACAGGGTCAATGGTCCTGGGAAAGTGCCACCACAGTTACCTTTCAAATATCAGACCATTGTCAAATGGTTCTTACTGCTTTTCCCATCGAGGTTCATTGAGGACAACAGGTCATTGTACTTTTGGGTCACGACAAAAGCCACTGTTTTGGTTTCCAGTTTGGGCCATACTATTTGTGCTTTAGAGGAAGGAGAGGTTGTGTTTTTGTAACAGTGAAAGCTATGGACCATAGAGATTGCATAAAGTGGGGAAGAGGGGAAGTTGAAACTTCTCAATTACATTCTTTGCCACTCCAATTCGCCTGGCCGCGAGGTAGGATGATGTAATAGGATGGAATGAATATGAGCTTCTCGGAATGTATTGCTTTCTAAGGTATCAACGTTTATAGTAGAAGCAACACTTGAGTGGAGCTTTTGTCGTGAGACGAATCAGTATTGCCGATGGCAGTGGCACCTATTCCAAATCCAGCTGAAGAAATATTAATTGATATAAGCACATTTTATTTTAAATGCGTTAGCATTTATTGCTCTTCTTCATGTAGTCGTCTTTGGTTTGAACTGAACCGTGGACTGAACGGGTTTTGTGATGCTGCGGCGCTGTTCCCGCCGTGCTCTTCCGCTCCGTTCGTTCGCTCGTTACGTCACATTTCACTCTTACATGAGAGAGAAAAAGTTTTCTTGCGCGCTTCCAATGAAGCACGACTGTTGACGCGCACTGCTCTAAAAGCTGTGGTGGCTGCATCCGAAACGGCCGACGTCCAGGAGAACAAACTGGCTTTCTGAAGACAACGAACCCCTGTACTAAATGCTAAAGCAATTTAGTCGATAATCAGCTTTGCAGCAGCAGCAATTTTGGCCTAATTTTTTTTTTATCTAGCATATGTTTAAACTTAGATATTATTTATTTATTTAATTATTTTAATAGGAAGCACTGCAAAATTAAACTTAGAATTTCGGAGCTTTGCGTACCAAACAAAAATAAACCCCGAAAAACACTCTCCAAAGCCTTTAATCAGTGTGGCGAATTCACACAGAGTGTAGCCCGTGGGAAATGCAAGCAGTTTTCAATGTTCAAAGAAAGATTGTACATTCGCTCTCACATTGTCTGAGGGGGTGCACAGCATAAGGCCTGGCCCATGGTTTGGCTTGGTGCAGAAACCTGCTTACTTTGTTAACAGAAGATAAATAGAATGCAAAATGATACGTCGGGAACCTTCTCTCGTAGTTCCAGCAACAATTCAAGGGGTTTGTAGTCGAAAAAGCAAGCTACGACCTGTTCCACTATTCCTTTTCTGCGGCCCCAAAGGACTCCGATCCGATGGTGCAACTGGAGCTCATGGGCTTCCGGCGTTCGCCAGCACCGAAGAGTATGCAACGCAAATCTTAGCTGCTCGAGTTATACGAAACCCTCGGCTAGTACAAGTATGGGTACCTGGTGGACCACGCCTGAAACCGGCGTCGCTTTTTGGGAGCACATATGTTTGTGAGCAGACCTTCTCGCCGACAACTCGGAGCAAGAACCGTCTTCGATCTGTCATGATGAATGTGTCACTGTGAGATGTACTAAATACAGTAACAAATGTGATGGCACTTGATATTGGAAGCCTGCCTGATGCCATGTCTCACTAGGTGCGGCCACGCACAGTTTTCAGTAAATATAATTTTGGCCCGTCTCATTTTTTATTTGTGCTCCCCTGACCAAGGGGTACACGTGCCACGTTACCATTTGAGTAAGCTCGTCCCTCGTGCGATGTCTGTGCGACGCTCTTCTCCGTTCTTCTTTGCCCTGCTGCACCGCTGCTAAAGATTTTGACCTCGCTCTCACATCTCTCGGACAGGTATGGTGGACTTCCAGTTTCTGCCGATGGAGAAGAAGGCAGATGGCGGGGGCTACGAGAGCCTGCTGGACCAGCTGATTCCCCCGACGATGCCCTCCCTGGACTGGCTGAAGGAGGAGACGCCTGTCTTCATCCTGCCCCAGGTCTTCTCGCGGCTAGACACCCCTGCCGTTCAGCCCTTGCGGGACGAGCCTAAACGCCGCGTCATGCCTGGCAGGCCCTCCGGACGCCCCGACAACGTCCTGGGAGGAAGTGAGCAGCAGTTTCCTGGCCATCTTTTTCGACACGGAACATGCTTTGTCGGCCAGATTTTACGAGAAAACTGTTGTGAAGGTCTGCGACGTTACGGGACGCCATGCATGGTACCATGTGGTGCTCTGACGTCAAAGGGCTATCGTGGTGCCGTGTGACGTCATGAAGTCACATGACATGATGGCTGATGTCATGTGACATCAGATTCTGCTCTGATGTCTTGTGATGTCGTAGTTGTGTGACATGTTGTCACAGTCATGGGACCTGTAGTCACAGTCATCTGTTACAGTCGCATGGTCGTGATGTCAGTGTTGACGTCGCGTGACGTCACACGCACAGCACGTTCCCAGCTCATTCGCGACACCTTTTATGTTCCCCGGTCTTTGTCCGCACAATTAAGCTAGTGTACCTTACTTTTTTTCATTCTGCTCTTTCATTTCTTAGTTTTAATGGTGACAGCCGTTATTGGCGAGGTTCTGCAGTGGATCCCTGGGTATGTTTCCTGTAGGGTCGTCGTGGCTGGGAGATTTCCCCAATAACTTTAGCAGGAAAATTTGCACGCCATGCATTATGACGCGCGACGTGACGTGATGCTATAGCCATCATGCCATGACGTTGTGTGACACTGAAATCGCATGGCATTGTGGTTAGTGTGCGGCATGATTGTGTGCTGCGGAGTGTGCCTTGGCTGTCGCCGCTGTCCGTTAGCAGGATGTGGCGAGGAACTGAGAAGTTTTTGTTTCTCTTCTAACCTTGAACTTTGTACAGAGTAGCGAGCTGTAGGAGAAAAGATTGGGCTGACCTCTTTTCCTTTATTCCTTGGCCCTAGTCAATCCCCATGGCTCTGCCTGAGGTCTCTGTTTTGAGTTGGGAACATAAAAAGAAGTCTCGTTATTCAGCAGTGGTCAACAACCCTTTACTCAGCCAACATCTTTTGCAAAAATGACGATAGTGAAAACAAAAAAAAAAGGACCGTTCAAGTGGTAGACGGTTTCTCTTTAACCATGGGGTGAATATTTCATGTACTTCTGTGTATAAAGTACAGGATGGAAGTTCTTGGCATGGCTGGCGTGACTTTCAGTGCTCGTTCCTTCTGAACTAAGGGCGGCGGAAAAAATGTTTAAGTCTGCGGTCTAGGAGAGGTAAAATGACCAGTGCAGGAATACTGTTTTTAATAGCACAGCTTTATCCCTAGCTTCATTGCTGCAAGAAGAGCTGGTATATTGGTGGCTTTCTGCGAAAACTATGAATATTGCGAGTGCTGTTTGGTTCGAACAACTTTTTGTCCACCTCTGAAAATTGCTTCAGAATAAGCACTTTCTATCACATTTTAGAGCATGACTTTTCCACATTGATTTATTGTAATAATAGTAACTCTTACATCTTTGGAGGAGGATTTTGAGTACCGTAAAGTTCATATCTACCACAAGCTTCGTGGCCCACCAAATCGGCCACATTGAAGGGCGTGTGTTTGCACAAACGGAAACTTTCGTAAGCTTGCTGAAGCACCTAGCAAATCACATAGAAAACATAAAAATTGGGTTATTTATATTAATCCCGGCGTACCACTTGCTGCCTGTTGCGTGTGTCACTAAGTGGCTCCACTGTTGAGAAAGACTTAAAGATGCCTATCGTCCTTCTAGCATTTTAATTTGCCTCCATGCTGAACTTTAGCAACTCTTTATACCAGTCATGGCCCTGAGTTCCTGTCGCCGTGAAACCTAGTGTGCCTTTACGCACGCTTGGTTTAGGGTGATGACGTCTGACTGTTTTGTTCTGAACGCTTCGTTTTCTTTTTTATTCTGGAGCAGATAAAAGAGCGTCTCCTGGTGCGAGTTCTGGGCGTTGAGTGCGCTACAACAGCATTTTGTTTCCGGCTATTTCTCTGTATTTCTTTCTGCGAGCACCTGCTGTCGGCGTCGGATATTACGCAGAGTGAACTCGCTCTAAATAGAAAAAACAAACATTGATGCACCCTAGTGAGATCCAAAGAAGTGGAGGAGGGCCAGTACTGGAATCACGGGGTTTACCAGTTTAGTTGCAAAGTCAGCTGCCGTCTTGTTGCTCAGCCAGCCCTAAGCCGCTCGCTGCATTCCTTCTTTTCGTCGCGGCAGTCAGCGTTGCAGCTGCAAATGCCGAATCGTGCATTTGGTTGTACCAATACCCTTTGCGTCTTCCTTCCCTGGCTCGTGCAGCCCGCCATCGGAGGGTGAAGTTTGCCTGCTTCCTGAACCACGACGACCTCAAGGTTCCCGTGGAGCCGAAACCGGAGGCCTGGAAGCAGCTCGAATGGCGTCCTCAAGATCCCGACGTCCATAAGAGGGTCAAAGAGGTCGGGAATCTGAAGCTGGGCATTTTCTGTCCCTCTAGAGCGCCTCTTGGGACGCTAAATGGCATGGGGCACGGCTCATGGTGTGTGTTAGTGTGCCGCAGCTTGAAGCACGTGGAGTAAAGCTCGCACTGCAGACCCCGAATATCCTGGGATCGATCCCTGCTTCTGCCCTTTTCAGCTTGGATGGGCGTCGTATCGGTGTGCAGTTGTGTATCGCTCCTTCGTGATGCATGCTAAAGACCTCGTGCTAGCAGCTGTACTGCACTTGCTAAATCTAAACGAGAAAGTGTGTGTTCCTTATTATGCACCTCTTTGATGTCCTGTGGATATTCGATAGTGGATGCCTCGTAAGGCGTGTGGCGGTTTGTAGTACTTGCAAATTGCTTGATTGTTGCCTGCAGTCAATGGTTTTCTCAGTTTAAAAGGTTCCCAAATGTTTGAAGGTGGACAAACCATATCTGCGAAATTCCCTGGAAGTTGCGGTACCATTTTGACGTGTCATAATGTATAAACACCGTTTGAAAACCACATTAGCTATTGCTAGCTGCTATTTTACAGTATTATGTTACTGACCTCTCCGTACGAAACCAAAACAACAAATTTGCACTGTAAAAAAAATTAGCCTGCAAATTTAAAAAAATTTGCGTATGTTTGACCCATTAAATTTTTTATTTTTTTTAAATTTTATGTGAGTCTTATTTGTCAGATACAAATCAAATCCTTAAAAGGGGCACATATTCACCTCAAAAGATGTATTACTTGGGCTATGAAAAGTGGCACAAGGAAAGCTCTGTTCATGATTTGCAGTGGAAATTCTTTCGTTCGGGCCACATGCTGAGACGTCTGTGCTTCTTCAACATCCATTGTTGGAATGATATCCAGCACAATTCTTCCAATAAAGGGAACATATGGTATTTCATAAATAATGACAGTCTAAATCAGTGGTTCTCAAATCGAGGTCTGTGGGTCCTTTGGGGTTTGCGAAGCCCTGCCCCATTAGTCAAGCTCGGCAATAAAAGCTGTATTTTTTCAAATTGAGAAAAAACATTCCAATTTTCGGGTGAGTTTTCTCGTGTGTGTCAATGAGGGAAGTCTGCTTCACACTAGCCCTTAGTTATATCCATCTAATAAATCATTATATTAATTAACCTGTACATTTTCCTTCCTCTGACGACGAACAGGGTCCTCTATTATCTCCGCCGATCCACAAGGGGTCCGTGAAACATCAATGGTTGAGAACTACTGCTCTAAATGATTGGAGGCCATAAAAAATTATGTGGGACAGCCCTTGTCCCTTGTTTCGTTTCCTTGTCATTTCACATTTTGTGATGTTGTTTCGGAAGATACATTCCAACTACTATAGCCACGAGTGGAAGGAGAATGGCAGGGAGGTCTTACAACAGACCTTTTCAGAAATTCAGAGCCAACTAGTGGCTCAAATATTAGCCCAAATTTTTGTTTGGTAGTGGTGGTTAAAATCTCGCCTATTCATCAACGGCCAACGCACGAAAGTTACGGTGTTCTTTTCTGTACAGTTATTTCTTTATTTGTTTTAGTTCCTATGGTGCCAAGAAACCATCACTGCGTGAGGCACTTAGTTGAGTAAAACTAGGTAAAGTTCACCACATTACTATAACATACCATAGAAGTGCCCACTTTGTTCAAGTGCCCACCATTAACATTTCCTAAACTTAGAAATTCCGCAAATTATACGTATACCTACCTGATCTGCCTGGACAAGTGCCCATATCTAGATTAACCCAGTTTTCACTGAAAGTGGGTTGGGCGCTCCCTTAGTATTTTACGGTATATTGTCATGGAGCTGTCTAGGGCATGCCGAAGCCGAGCGTTCCAAGGATTAGTACGATACCCTCAAACGCGTAGTGCGTAGAAGCTTATCATTCTCGTTGCGCCGACATCAAGCAACAATACAGCAAACTGACGTCTGGAATGTTCAGGCTCCGCATTGGTGCCTGTCTCCAAATTCTTTCTTAACCAGCCATAGAAAGGCTGCCATTAGTATGTACAGTATATAGACCTTTTCATTTTAGTAGTTGCCTCACCGGCAAATGGAAAGCGCTGACGCATTCGGCGCCATTAGGTTGCTTCAATTTGGTTGGTTTCGGCTTCAACGTGAATGCGGCTATGTTGCTGTTTTAAGTTGTTTTTGCTTAATTTTGCGATACAGTTATCTTCCTTGTAGCATACAACCAATAAAACAGTGGTACTGAGCCAGTTTGAGGACTACGAGGTGTATTTTAGCCTAAATTGCGAGCTTTTGTTTCCCCAACTCCTTTGATGTATCTGATTATGGTCGGTTGTGAAACACCTGACTGATGTACAGGGAAGATTACCATCGTCTACGGCCCTACCCGATGGCACCAGTTTTCATAAAAACCGACTAATGAAGAGACTAGCACGTGAATGTAAATAAGCATATCGACAGCTTGATTAGCAATGCGCTGAATCGGCCAGAACAGATGAACTCGCGAGTTTACTACTCACTGTTTGGTTTTCGTCATGCAACCTTTAGTGAACTTCGCAGACTTAAAACGTATTGTGTAATGACGCAGATAATTGATATTAAACAAGTAGTATCGTCTTGGCTTCTTTTTTTTTTTTAAATTCAGTACTAGCATGGTTTGACAAGCCGAGTAGCAAATTTCCTAAATTAGCAACCCTGCTAAAGTACTGATATGCAGCATTTCACAATATTTGGCCTAAGAAATTATTTTTATATGAACATTTGCTAACTCAAGATATGATATGAATGACAGGCCCATCAAATTAAATCTGGCATTTTTCTTCCATAACATCGGCTAAATAAAATTAAAGGGTGCAGAAGAAGAAATACCTCGAAAAGTTTGGCTGAATTCAAGCGCTCTAGGCACCACTTCACGGACCTGTGTGAACAAATATTTATTTCTTTGAACAGATTCACCTTGCAAATTTCGGCGTTGCCAGCCCCCAAAAGTATAAATCTCTATTCGCCACCGACAATCCTGGACTCAAATAATTGTTATGCAAACGGCTCTTTTTTTATTTTTCCGGCGTCAAATATTGCGAACTCCAGATAACTGGCAAAAATTAAAACAGCATATGCAAAAAACAAAAAAAAACATTGTTATTATTGCGCATGCGCCGAACCCCAATTGCATTTTGTATTTGCAAAGAGAAACAGCGTTATGCATTTGTGCACGCTATTCTAAAATTCGCAACTGTGAAGTGTCTGTGGCAGTTTCTTACGCGAGAAGTTCCAACCTCTGTGTTAAAATAAATTAGGTGGATGGCACTGATTATCTAAATATAATAAATAAATTACATGACTGTCCAAATGGGAGCGAGCACGGCATACAATTTCTTAAAGGGGCCCTCCGGAGCTTTCTGCGATCGTCTGTTTATGTTGTTATATTGCGTAGTAGGTGCAAGTTAATATGTATACAAAGTTTTAGATTACAAAACCGTTTATTAAGCAGATGGCAGAAGAAATATATCGGGACTATTTTCTCTTGGAAGACAATCCCCCATTCCCTGCCCACCGCTAAAACTTGACCAATGGAAATGCTGCATCTCGCGGTGAATGCGAATGTTATTATTGCAACACTTTTTAAGCTCGTTGTAAATCGGAGTTTGAGAAAAACGTAAACTGATTGTGGTGCTGGAAACATGGTCCGCAATTATTGCTTCAAAACCAGCGAACTATATGTTTTCTCCCCGCAAGCGTGTTGCTAGGGGGTGATGCGTCGGCGCGTCGGCTCGTCTGCTTCCCGGGGCGTCTGCAGGCGTGCGTTTGCGGGACACGTGTTCCTTCTTCCCGTGGATCCCGACTCTGAAGCCAGCTTTGCGACCCTTTCACGTCAACGAGTCAAACTTTTCCTTGTCATCTGTGGAATGCGACTGCGTATGGCTGTAGCAGCGCGACGGTGCGGTGCAACGAACGACGACTGCCGAGCACAAAGTCCGGGCTCCTTGACGACGGTCCGCGCGTGTTCGAGAGATTCCTCTGCGGGTCGGTGGTCGGCCGCGTTGGTGACGCGCAGTGACGCCGGAATCCTTCGCTTGCTATTGGCTGACGTGTAAAGAGATGCCCCTCCCGTTTTCCGGGGTCATCTCAGAAAGGGGGGCGTGCCGGGGACTTTGATAGCAATTTTAATAGGGAAATCCGCCGCGCATGACCGTAATTTTATGATTTTTAGGATCCTTAGGATCTGTGGATTGAGTTACCGCCATAAATAGACCATCGCAGAACGCTCCGGAGGGCCCCTTTAAACTTCATAAGTTAACCAACCAACCGAACGTTTACGTCGCAAAAAAAGATTGAGAACCTCATACACGGGTAGGTGTGATATTATGAACAAAAAAATTGCCTGATGGTGACGTAACCATGACCTACTGGACGTACCATTACTTCTAGCCCCAGGTAGAATTCAAGCTAAACGCTCGTTGCCTATCTCCTCCGCGGGTTTCCCCTCATAATTAAAGAAACTGTTTTTGATATATTATGAATACAAAGAATGATACTTTCAGGAAATACAGATAGTCTGCTTGCGCTGACTATTCTTGGTGCCTTCCCATCCTAAATGTGCAATATAAATATACGCGCTTGTTACTTGGAATGTTCTGCCACTATTAGTGAACAAATCTCAGTTATCATAAGGACATTTGAACCCTCGTGATGTCTAAGTCGTCGTATCGGACTAGTTTCCGAAGTAAGGCAAGAAAGCGCGGTGAAGCGCGATGAAAAACACGAATACAACGCATCCGCCACGGGGGAAGGGGAGCAGCAAGTTCAAGCAACCTAATGGCTGCAGCGTCACATGATTCCAAGATGGCAGCGCCTATGCCGAGGAGGATGAAAAGGTCTATACACTTGGACGACGATAGTTATCGAAGTAGCCAGACCGGATTTTGGAAAGGGTCTATTGCCTTCACTTTAGGAGGTGCTTCCTATCTTCGACAGTACTTCGGCGTCTCGCAAGCCTCGAGTGTGCACGTGCAGCCAAAGCACAATGGAAGGCAACGGATGCATGCCAGAGGGCGGGCGTTCGAGAGACTTGCCATGCCCTTCTTTTTTTGTCGGTGACCGTGGGTAACCCAACTTTTCACCTTGTGCACAACATAGTTGGGAAGTTTTGATGGTGCTTGCATCCTTTTTAAACTGTGTGGCACCGGGAAGTGCGCTAGTTTTATGGGGGTGCAACCTCCTAATAAATACTAAGGCGGAGCGAATTGGCTGTTGCGAATCATTATGCATCTAGGGGTAGGTCCACCGTCGAGAAATGGTGACACTGGTTTGGCATTTTAGAGGACCAAGCCGGCACACTATGATAGCTCGCTCGAGGTCTTTAACGACAATCGTGCAGTGGTGACTGTGCTACCACGTGCCAATGGGATGCTCATCCTAGAGCACTTGCACGCATTCTCGAAGGAATGCAAGCTGGTTGTTTGTATGGTTATTTAGTTTCCAATGTTATCGGTTATTGGGGGTCGTTCAGTAACGGTGTGCACGCTTAAAGGGGTACTCCGCCGATTTTTGAGCTACCTCAACTAACTATATTTTCTGACTCCCAGGCCTTTACCCTTTCTGGAATGCTATTTAATATCGTGAAATTCATAATAGTTATTGCGAAATCGGCAAATGAAAATGATGCAAAAACAGACATTCAAATATACCCGCCCTTTTCAGGGCCGTGACGTCAGTGGAAGTTCAGCTTGCCAGTCGGGCGAGCAGTCGAAAAAATAGAATATGCCAATTATTTGTTCCGTGCTGGAGCGCAGGGACTGGAGCGAGCTTCCAAGGCATTCATTTGACACCATGAAACTGCTTCAGATCAGTTGGGAACTAATTCTACAGTCCAAAGAGTGAACCCCTGCACTTCCAATGACGTCACTTTTTCATTGTTGCCAGTAGAGACTTTCAGTTTGAAAAACACGGTGAGGACCAAAATTGTAAATTCAATAACTTAGTGAAAAAAAATTATTTTGATCTAATATTTGGTATACTATTTTGGCGATGTTGTTTGGCGAGTTCAGCAAAATTTCAAGCAAATCGGGGACCATGAAGAAATCGGCGGAGTACCCCTTTAAATGTGCGTCTATGATTTTGATTCTTCTGCTATTTCTACTTGGCCATCGCGAATTGACGATTTGTTTGCAGATTTTGCCCTTCTGCTCGCAATATTTCGTAGGATCCGCATCTAGACGTTGGTCGACTTTGTCTCCTCCAGGATTGCGACGCGATTGTCCTCTCCCTCTGCCTGTCTCCCTAGGCGTTTGAGGAGCGCCCCCTGTGGACCCGCAGCGCCCTGCAGGTGCGGCTGGAGGAGCAGCCGGGGCGCTTCAAGCTCATCCTGCCTGTGGTGGCCTACTATGTGCTCAGCGGGCCCTTCCGCACGTCCTGGGTGCGCCTGGGCTTCGACCCCCGCAAGGACCCCAGCACCAAGCCCTACCAGATCCTCGACTTCAGGCTTTCCACCTGTACGTCCATCCTTTCTTTGCCTCTCCGACTGTCTGTGGGGCCTCGCATAGGGCTAACACGATGCTTCTTGGAGTGTGGGTTCTCAATAGGTTTCTCCGGAGTACCCTCGAGTTTGGTGGCACGTCTTTGACCGGCGTGCTTACTGTCTTCGAATATGGTCCCTCGGTTTCTGCCCAACGACGTCATAGAAGTGTTGCTTCGTTGCCTGCCGCGGTCCCGATTGCGGTACGGCAGCGAAGGTGGACACAGCAGACGCCCGTTCTGTCTTGGGTCGCTCCGAAGTTCGAGGGCAAACCAAAACCAAAGCAGATACGAGATAAGACGGCACGACAACGGCGACCCTCGTGTCCACTCTCCTCTTTTGCCGCCAGCGTTTCTACGACCAACCGCTGAGATTGTGACATTTGAGGGCGTGATGCCCCGGCGCCTGCGATGTATGATTTGGGACCACTTTTGATGCATGGACGGGACGGGACGGTAAACTCGCCCTTCGAAGATTGGTTCCGGGCACCGTACCGCGGGCATTCCCCGAACTCCCAAATTTCCTCGGTCGTCCCGGCACCCGAGTGAAGTGTCTTTCGAGTTTGGGCCCCGTCTTAGCAGGTCCGAGCCACCCATTGATGCTCAACTTCCCTAGTGTGCGTATGATTGTTTACGAGGTCTGTGGGCTTCTGTGTTGTCTTATTGCATTGATGCCGAGAGCGGGAAGGGTTCCTCGGTCGCCGTTCATGCCGGTGGGAGTTTCTCGAGATCAAAGAGTTTAAGAGGCAGCAGTTCCGCCACCTTGTTGTGCATTTTGTTTGCTTCAGAACGGCGGGGCATGGTGGTCATTGTTTGTGGTCTAGGCAGGCTCATATTTGCTGGCAAGTTGAAGAAGCAGTAAGGCATCAGCTGCGAGGTTGGTACCTATAGTCTTGTGGCGGCACGTTCCCTTTGCCAACACAACATTCTCCAAGGCCCCTGCATGCCTGGGGGATCGACAGGGTGAAGACGAGGAAAAGGTGGCACCCAAGCTTAGTGAGTGCGTGAGGATCCAAAGAACGACAAGCTGACAGGCTTGAGACATCACCGGCAATCCCTGCTGACCGATGGACGTCCAAGTTCTATGTTCTTTTAGATGGTTTGGTTTTAAGTAAATTATATACCGTATAGGAGTAACGTTCCCGACTGTCTGGGTTATTACCTGTCGCGCAAGCGAGCCCAGTAGGGAACGCAAGTCTTTCCTAGCATTAGGGTAGAGTCTCAGTGGTATGTTCTCGGTTCATATGTGCTTTCCGAGCTGTTACGTTCACAAATTTTGGTCCTGTCAAACTTCCGTAGAGATGTGTGTATTAGTTTCCCGTTTATTTGAAACATTGAAAAGTTTCCCGTAGTTGTCTTCTCGGTCGTTACCTCCGAAAATTGCCAACCAACATGGAGAATGCGACGTGTTGGGTTGCTTGCCGCACCTGTTCTTTTTCTTTTGCTCCGCTTCACTTCTTTTTCGCCTCTTTGCCTCTCTGCATTGTGCTTCTTGCCCTCGCGGGCATGACCTTTGTCTAGCCTCAAAAAGAGTTGTGGCTTTCACAAAAGCCCATTCATCTTTTTGTCAATGGTTGCTCGAATATCATCTTGCCTGGAGTTGAAGTTCGTAATTGCGCACGAGGATTGTCGAGCTTCACCGCTTTGCACCGGCATGCTAGGTGTAGCACCGGGGGAACAGCTAGGTTAACTCCACGAGCTCAGAAGGTTTTGCTCATTCTTACGATTTGGCATTCTTTGGCCACCATTATACATAATTGCAGGCACGGTGCCCTAACTGACGGGCCTTCGTAAAATGGCGTTCCTGATGTCTTGACGACCTATATTAGAAACACAGCACAAACACCACGCAATGCTGTTAGCGCAAACGAGATATCGGCGCTTTTCTTCCTTTTACTTTGAGAGACTATATCAGGGGTGGCCAGGCTGACCCGGTCTATGAGCGGCAAACAAAACCACGATACTTCTAAGAGCCGGGGGGGGGGGGGGGGGGGGGGGCATGATTAAATTTTGTTTACAGTCTGATTGTACGTATGGGGGTACAAGGTTGCCAAACCGCAAGCTGTGAACATCTTGGGAAGAAGCAGCAGCAAAAAAACTTGAACAGGAGTAAAGAAACATACACGACGGGACAGCGCCGTCCTATCGTGTATGTTTCAAATTTACTCCTGTCCAAGTTTTTTGCCTCTGCTTCTTCCCAAGATGTTCACTTCAAAACCAACTAGCCCAACATGTTACATTGTCGCAAGTTGTGCTTTATTCTGAAATCCTTTCTTTTCTTCCTAGGAAAACGAAGAAAGGGGCGGGGTGGGGGGAGGGGGGGGTCCTCTTGCGAGGGATCCGCGAGCCGCACTTGGACCTGCAAAGAGCAGCATGCGGCTCGCGAGCCGCGGTTTGGCTACCCCTGGACTATATTGATAGGCACGAAACTTCACTGGTTAGGTTACCGCTCCGAAAGAGGACTTTCCACCGCACTTAATTTATTATGGCAGCCATCCAGTTTTAAGGTAGAAACAGTAAAAATTGGAAATCACTTGTTCATGTTAACGGTCTCGTGCCATGTACAACGTCAACGACGGACTTTAGCGGTAAAACCCTCGCTTTCCAGCTCCGTCGGGGCTCCGCCACGACGTGGCGCCCAAGCGGGGCCTCTCGGCGTACCTGGTGCCCACCAAGGTGCTGGGCACGGGCTGCCGGCGCGTCGTGGCACAGACCGACTCCCTGACCCTGGCCGCCCAGGGCGACGCCTCCAGTGCGTCCTCGGCCTCGGCCTCGACTGACCCGGAGCTGGTGAGCACCTTCAAGCCGGGGCACCTGCCTCCGTTCCGGCAGCTCTTCTACCACCTGTGCGACGTGCGCCTGGACGAGGTGCAGGCACTGGTGCACGCCAACGACGGCAAGGAGACGGGCTGCCACGAAAAGGACGGCTGGTGCCTGGAGGGCACCATCGCCGCGTGCCGCCAAATCATGCTCAAGGACCTGCGCAGGACAATCAAGCTGCTCAAGGCCAAGAGCAAGTTGTCTCAGGAGAATGACGAGTCATTGCCGGCTTCGGATGAGGAGGACGACGACGGGGAGGAGCTGGACGAGCTTCTCGACGACGATGACGATGAATGACGGACGGGAAAGCTTTCGTTCCGCCGCCTTGTCCAATCGTGAGCCAGTCAGAAACCATGCTGTTATTGACTGGCCTTTGACTGGACCGCGCAGTCCATAGCCGTCGTCGTAGGCTGTCGTAGGGCGAGTCAAAGTATAGACGTTTGCAAGTGCGGCCACTGGGCACTGACCTCTTGCCGCTGGCGAGTTTGGGACACCCCTAGGTTGGCTCGCACGTACCGTGCCGAGATAATGGAAAGTCGGTGCTACTATTGGCGCCGAATTGGCGTTACAGTGCGTGTGTGCAAACGAGGAAAGGCTGGGTCAGGTGCGGCAGAATGCCAATACAACGTTAATGCTGTAGCGCTAAGTCGGTGCTGTGTCTATGGCATTAACTTATCACTGAGCTGCATGTGCGAACGGGCCTCGATGATTGAAAAGAGTGTGCCCACGATTGTTGGCCCAAACAAAGTATTTTTCGTCCATGGTGGCCAGACCAGCTTTTGAAGCTTACGCTGTTTGCAAATGTCCATAGAGGCTCCACAACGAGTGACGGCATCTGGTGGCAAATTCGGGAGGCTGACGAGCGAGGTCGGAAAACCTGTGGCTGGAGCCGAGCACTCGAGGAAGGCGTCAGAAAGTCACTGCAGCAGAAAGTATAAATGCATGCAGTTTGTGTGGAAGGTTTTTTTATGTCGTGCAAGTGATTTTGGGACTGCAGCATCTTTCGGGACTACCATGTGTGTGCAGGTGTGTCCGGTATGTTTATTGTAGAACTTTACAGATGTTTGCACCTGTTTGTGAACAAGCGTGGGCACTGTGCATGCAGCGACCAACCTTTGAAATGGTGAAGCTTGTATTGCACGAGTTCAGTATTGTAAACTGCAGAGGGGCTTATTATTCGGTTTGCTTCAAGACCATCTAAAAGCGCTCCAAGAATTGTCGTAATAACAGAACAAGAGGAATAATTTGATGTGTCAAAATATAGCAACAACTGTGTAAGTTTTGATGCCATTCCCTTTGGTGAGGTGATCGTGCATTTTTAATTTTTTGGTTTGAAAACCTTCAGATATCTGTCGCTGGCACCGTTTGCCTGGTTTGCTCTTTTTTGTGTGGCAAGTGGGACAACCCCTTATGTGCACCTTAATTATCTGACCAAAATCGGCAAATCTGCTACATTTTTTCTCTGCTTAAAATGAGAAGTGGCACACACAGGAAAGAGTGTTACAATATGTAGATTCTTTTTGGTGTTTTGAGAGTTTTTGTTTTGTGAGTGCTTCTGACCAAAACAGCGAAAAACGTCAGTTGTGCATGAAAGTAATTTCTTTGCCATATTCTTCTCACACAAATTCACTCGGGAAATATCTGTCATCAAAAAGTGACACCACAAGATCAAACTTTTTTTTTTTGCTTGCTCAAACATACTAATACACATAAAAAAAAAAAAAAGAAATGTGACAGCCCATTTGAATGGGGCAGGGAGCAAACTGGGAAACAAATCGCACGGGAGTGCGCACTCAAAGGGTTAGTCAAGGACTGTAAGGCATGCATTCTAAGGTAGGAAGATGCAGAGAAGTGCTAGGCCATGGTCTGCTCTTTGCCTGATTGGGTTAGCAGGTGATAATAAATTCATGGCAAGATGACAAATGCCGCATCCTACTTTCAGAGCTGCTTGATTGACCTCATCGTCTTGTAGCATCTGCTGTGCAGATGGTGAAACGGGGCACGTCGGGAAAAGGGTTAATTTCAAGACGGAAGATCAGTTTGCTGCTAGTATTACTTTCTCAACTTGAGTTATATTGTTTTGAAGCTCCATCACGTCTATGAAAGGCATTATCGCTATGCAGTGTTGTGGACCATCCATTTGGCTATGTGAACAATTTTTGCACAATATAGGTTGGAAGCACTTCGGGATCAGCAATCTCGTAACATTGCTAAACCATATGGAATATGTGCGAGGCCTGTTTTGTCTTGAAATAAATTCCTGCTGGCACTGACTAATTTGTGTGAAGGAGAGAGTGATATTTATTTAGGTGTAAAAGTTTACTAGGCACCGAGGAAGTGAGGGAGAGAAGAGAGCTTGCGAACGTCAAAACGCCGAGCTCTGGTTGAAATGACAACTGGGTAGACCTAGAGCTAGCAGCCTTTTTGTCTCCACTGCACTCGTCGAATGCGTTAGAACGCGGAACGCCAGCGTTTGGTTCTTGCATTCAAACGCATTCGAAGAGTGACGTGGAGACAAAGGCAGCTAGCTTTAGCTCTACCCACTAATCATTCGAACCAGAGCTCAGCGTTCCGACGTCCCTGCGCGCTCTCGTCTCCTCTTCCTCAGTTTTTCAGTGCATAGTACTGGGCCAGGTTCTGTCATAAATACCTCGTACAGTGGAATTTTGTTAATTCAAACTAACGTGCAGGTTTCATTTCATGCGTTTCTAGGAAGGAAACTTTCCGTAATTCAAACTTTGCGTTATTCAAACCAAGTTTTGGTCCCCTTCGGGTTCAAATCAACAAGATTCCAGTGTACTATTCCACTTAGCTTATACTGTATATATGCCTGGTTTGGAAACCAGTGGAGGAAAAAAATGCTATTACGAGGTTATTTGCTAACTCCTATCGGAGTACGGATACGGTGCACAGTCTGTGACAAGAAAAACATACCTAATATTGCAGCAAAGTGCACCCGCCTCAAATGACACGACATACTGGTTCAACATAGTCATTTATTGCCTCGTCGTCGCCTGCAACCCACACGGTCCCACACGCATACTTCTGCGCCGGCCTTTTATGGGGGGCAATGCACCGCTCGGATGGCCGATTACACTTGGCCGCCTTGTGGTGTGCAGACGGCCAGAGATGGTTTAACATGCGGGCCACCTGGTCAAATGCTGTATACCACGAGGTTGCCCCACAACCTCATTTACCAAAGTAATTTGGTGGATTAGGCGAAAGCCATGCACATATTTTACACCGTCTGGGTGCGACCCCAAGTCGTGTTTATGAAATGAGCGAAGGCACGGCTTTGTCACACAATTTTTTTATTGTTCTCCAGAGGTGGAATTCATACATCTTTTCACATGCAGACACCGAAGCATCTCCTTTATTTCCCAGACTAGCACTCACATTTTAAATTCCTGAAGTAATGCACCATATTGGAAGTGACGAAAGACCACAGACATTCTGCATAGGAAGTGCATACCATAAAATACTGCACATCTGCCCATTCCGCACTAAGCGCCCATTCCCAAATTTGTAGAATCTGAGAAAATATGCACATTACATTGATATGTAAAACTGATGACCGGACAAGCGGCCATCAGCCCCATTTTTTCGCGATTATCTCTAAATTTTGAATGGGCGCTTGCCCGGTATTTTACGATAGGAGGACACTTCCATTACTTGAATTTGTTGTGTTGGCATGTCACATTCTGTGTACTGAACAATCAACCAGTTTATCTCTCCTGGGGGTCGTTTGCCCATCTTAAAGAAGCCCATGGCGTCTCAGTTTAAGCACGAAAAAATCATCTGGCTTGGACATAATGTCAAATGCAACAAAGGTGCAATAATACTATCGTAAAATCCTGAGCAAGCCCACTCAAAGTTTGGAGATAGTCGCATAAAACTGGGCGAAGGGCGCTTCTTAGGTCAACAACATGTAAATATATGTCCTTTGTGTATTGTCGGAGTGTTACAAAATTGAGGGATGGGCTCTTATTGTAGGATGGGAGGCTGCTCTTAATTTTATGGTTATATGCAGTTCCTACTATGTAGCGGGGGTGGGGGGCACATTGCTTTTCCTTTTTACGCCCGCATGGCGCAACACCACTGGCTGCATGTGCTATGATGCGAAACCAACAGTTGCGCTCCACCGCTAACTCTCTCGTTGCCTCGCTATGGTGCGACCAACACGGGCAAGCAAGATATGTGTAGGACCTAGAGATAAAGCCATTGCTTTAAAAGTACCGACATTACACTAGAACAGTCGCCCATGACAGTAATGTCTGCTGAGAGTTCCTAACGAAATACAAAACAAAATTAATGTTTCCTGTTATAAAACAAGCTACTCAAGAGGTAGTGGCTACAAACTGGCAAGCTTTCCAACAAAGTAAAACATGCAGTTTGGCTTAGGATTAATTTTTTTTTAGAAACTGTCTCTGTCCGATTTTTTCGATGCATTTCAAAAAGGTGTTGCACAAATCGCACGGTCAGAGGGCAGGCTGTTCATATTGGTTCCACGTGAAAGGTAATCTGCAGTTGGCACTTCCAACTTATCAATTTGTTTTGAAGTATGCACGGAATACTTGCTGTGCCAATGCAAGAGATAAAAAGTATGTAGCAAAAGCTGTGCAGAAAGGACAAGTGGGTCCTGCGTTCGGAAGACACGTGGCTATTCAGTAACGCAAGTCGCCGCCTCTATGGCTCGAGGCAAGGGCATTTTTTACATTTTATGTGCACACATCTTTCTTGGAAGCAGACATGTCCTACAAACTCGCCCGCTGTCCTCCGAGCAGGGTGATAAGCACTCGTGGTAAAGAACACAGCACGCAACGCTATTGCAGAACCAATGCTGCAAACTTGAACACAGCTGGTAGAGGCACACATTTTAATTAAAAGGTGGTCATCCTTTTTCCTTTTTCTCATCTGCAACAGCAATTTCTGGAACACCATCCATGCATAGGCCTTAAAACGCATAATTGTTGATCCAGTCGAACCGTGTGCCTCTCAGACAGAGTGGTAAAAAACAGGAAGGGGGGGAGGGAGGTGGGGAGGGGCGTTTTCACGACTGCGGCAGCTGCTCGATGGGCGTGAAGAACTTGAAGTCGTCCGGGAACAGTTCGGCGGCGCGTGGGTACATGAGCTTGTACGACTGCCGGATGGTGACGTCCGCCACTCCGGCAATGTCCCCGATCTCTGCATTAAAGTTGAACGTAAAGAGAAAGATGCAGCTTGCCGCCAAGTGTGACGTGTCCTCGGACTGCTTGATTTGAAAAGGAATGCCTCTCCATTTGGACACAGATATCGATGTAACGAAAGTGAAATGGCAGAAAGCCCTCGGTGCGGGCTTTCTGCTTTTGATAACACTTTGTCGCACGTGCGGCTAAAGCCCGGTGGGAGACACAACAGGCATGTGCTTCTTAGCACTGAATTTTGTGCGTGCCGCTGTTGTAACTGCCGCTGAATTTTTAGCCTGTGACTGACTATGGCGACTGATAACATGTACACTGCCAAAGACAACACGAAAAACAACATGTGGAAGAACAGGGACGAGAACAAATTTTGGAAGCCCATGTTACTGGGTGGTTGAAAGAGCACTGCATCACCAATGACTTATAACAAAAAATGTTTTTTTTTTTTTTTAACCTGAATAGAAGGGCTTGGTAGTCGAGTCTCAACCTTGGTGGTGCCTCATCATTCGCTCCACTTTTTCCTTTTGTGAAATGCAAGTATTGCGCAACGGTACTTGATTCCGACTAATGCTTATTTTACCTTTCTGAGACTTCTTGTCCTCCGATGCTTGCGATGCCATGTAGATAGCAGCGGCTGCCACCGAGATGGGGCTTCGCCTGTGACGAAATTATAAAAGTAACCAAAGCGTTTGTTACCACCACCCTCAACTGCCCCGAGAAAACCGTCGCAACTCAAATTCTCAACTGACCCGGAGACGACGTCCAACTCGACTGCCTTGCGAGCAATGTGCGTTGCTGCTTTCTGAACAGACGACGGCAGCCCCAGATTGGAGCAAAACCGAGACTGGAAGATGAAGTGAGAGAGCAAGTTGTTAGAATGCGTCGGTGCACCAGTAAGAGGCTGCTCAAACAGACAAGAGATTGTTGTGAATAGAAAAAAGGGTAGATAAATGTAAACTGACAGTAGACGTTTAATAAGACAAAATTGTGCCTGAAACTAAAACGAGAAAAGTGCTGCACAACCTGCATCAGCAAATGACTAGAAGGAGCAGTGCCCTAAGGTTGCTTTAGCACCCAGAACATGCAAAAATTTCGGAGAATAATCTGGAACATTTCAGAAAAGCAACGATAAGTAAAATAGAGAATTGGGCCCGCGGGATTTGAACCTCATACCACCGCGTGTGCTGCCAACTCTTCCACGCACATCGCCACATGCTGCACTCTGAAGTTTGCCAGAAGGGGAAACGCACGCTGTGTCGTTAACAACTATAGTCGGTGACATGCTAAGAATTCAGTAAATGTGTTGCCTCCAACGCGACAAAAGGCAAGGAGCGTGTGCTGGATGCAAAGCTTACATTGAATTCCTAGCCTGTCACCGAATACAGTGAAGGAAGAGTCGAGTTGTGAAGCCGAATCCCTCACCATGAAGTCGCCCGTCGTGATGAGATCGACGCTGGTCTCGAGGGCCTTGAGAATGAGCTTGAAGCAGCGTCCGATCTCCTTTTTGGATACCTTGGACACGGCGCATATTTCTGCACCGTATATCCGACAAAAAGGACAATGAGGAAGCTGAAATGGAGGGGAACACAGGGTGTTTTGTGTTGCAAATGCAGTCACCTTTGAACGTCCTGGGTACCCCTTCTTGGCGGCAGGCGATGTACAAGCAGGCGGAGGCAATGGCGTCGTTACTGCGGCCTTTCAGCGTCTTTCCGTCGTGTACTTGCTTGAACAGCAGGTTGGAGCGGTCCTGCAATCCGTTTCGACAACGGCAGGTTCGTAAGGGCATTCCAACAGCACAGCTTCCCAGGGTGTCCAGTATTTACCCAATGGCAACAATAGAGGAAAGGCGAAGTATCGCAAATAAACTGCAGATAGAGTACACTGAGCTATCAAGTAAATTTCAAATTGATGCAGAAGTAGGGAATTTCTGAAGCATTCGCTTGTAAACATTTTACAAATTAGGTACGGCAGTTTATTTTAGCTAACATTGTTAGTATCATCTACACATTCACACCAAGACTGAAAGAAGTCTGCAGTAATGGTTTAGTTGTGCGAGCTGCACCATTCTGATAAATTCCCATTTGTCTGCACCTTAATACATCCAAAGAGACAAAGTGGACACAATTGTGCCAAAGAGAGCTCGTCGACCTGCGAACGAATCAATTTCCTGAAAGAATTGGTGTCTTCGAATGGCAACCTGCTCAAAACACTTTCTGTTGGCAACCCGATGACCAACCCGGTTTTGGTTTTCTCAGCTTTTCTGGCTTTCGGATCAGAGGCATTTTGCAGCAGCATATCATGCCATGCCGTTCCTTGCAGCTCTCAAGAAGTGCAGCTCAGTGACCTTTAGTTGTGCACCCTAAACGTTTCAAGTAAGCACTGAGGATGAACAAAGGCAAATCATTCTTTTCTTTCTCAAAACTACCGCATGTATACTAACGCTTTTAAGGCACTTTAGATGTCCGGCAGAAATCGGAGTTTCTCAATGTATCGCGCTGCGATTTACTACAGAGGTGCAAGCAGGCGGTGGAAGTTTACAGTGAAAAATGCCCACGAAAGGACCTACCTTGTTCAAATGAAAAAATAAAACACAAATCTGTTTTGGGCAATCTACGCCGCCACTTCGCAAACGATGCACGCATAGAGAGAAGTGCTGCTGACGGGTTATGATAGCAGACGATCTGCAAAAGGACCCGAATCAGCCGGCGCTCCTTCAAAGAGGTGTACGCCATCTGTCGACAGCACTTCTTTCCAAGCGTGCATCATCTGAGAAAAGGCAACAAAAATTACACAAAACAGTTTTGTTTTTTTTTCCTTTTGAATGAGGTAAGTATAGTCCTTGATTTTTTTTCGCTGCAAACTTCCACCACCTGCTTGCACTTGTGTAGTAAATTGCAGCATGATACGTTGACAAATCATTTTTGCGGGCCGTCAAAAGTGCCTTAAAGGGGCTAGGACATTACATTAAACAGGTAGATTATTACTGCGAAAGCATTCACTGTTCCATGGAGCGAAGCCAGCGTTGTTGTCTGTAGCAGCGAAAAACAGCACCGACGGCACGTAAATTCCCACTGACTGAGCGAAACGGCACCTAAATTCCCATCGGCTGCGACGCGTCATGTGGCTCCATAGCAACGGTGACATCAGTGCTAAGGAGCCAGCCTAACTGCTGGCGGCGCAGTGGGAGGGGGGACGCGGGTATGCGCAGGCCTGACGTAAGGCCTAACTTGAGGCCTATCGTCACACTTTGAGGGCTAACGTCGTCAACCGGTACGCCCAGCTTTTTAAGGTGAGGGGGGAACGTGGGTATGCGCTGGCCTGACGTAAGGTCTGATGTTAGGCCTAACGTTACGCTTTGAGGTCTAACGTTATCAACCAGTACCCGCAGCTAAGGGTATGATGATGAGAGGGCACATGATTTCAGCACACTCCCGCTGCTGCTTCACCCAGCGGCGCAGCAGTCACCAGCGAGCCAGGGCGGCCTGCACGGTGCACCGCCACACTACCTGCCGGCACTGCGGCCGCTTCTGCTCCCCTCAACACCGAGGAACATGGCGGCACCTGAAGCATCTATAACGTTGGCGGCTGTTCAATTGAACATTAATGCTTTCGCATTCACAACTCATAAGAAGTGCTTACTTGTCCTCGTAATTTTTTTTCTGAAATTGAATGCTCGTAGGTTATTCAGTATACACACCGAGTTTTGCAATTTTTAGAGCTCTGGTAATCGCAATAGTCAATTTACGAATGTTGATCATTTTCGTCCAGTCACCAGGCAACACTGCTCAAGTTAGTTACACCATAGTGCCCATTAACCACGTGATTATAATACTTAGTTGAAAGCTCTCTCATTCTAGGTGCCCCCATGCTGGCCCAGCTCGCCTCGCCACTGTACGATTGCACGCTCTTGCGCCACTTGCTACGCCAACGTATGCTCTCGCTCTCGTCTCCTTGCCCTTTGACCTTCCACTGTGCATGCACGTGTGCAATCGTCGTCGTCGCTGGAGCTGGTGGCGAGCCGGTCGAGGTCAAAATGACCAGTTTTTTACATCTTTTGATAACATCACTCTCGTCACTGCTGCGATCAGTGTCAAAAACTTCGACGAAGCTAGTGATGCCGTGGACATCACCGTCTCGAAACCGTGTGCTTGAAACACGGAGGGCAAACATGGAAGCTGAAGCGCGAGATGCTGAGAGAGCCAAGTCTGAAACTGCTTGCAAGGGGACGCTGCGCGTTGGGCAAATGATGTCACCGACCCAACAGCCACGGTGGCCTTTTCAAATGGGGTGGATTTGAGGGTTTTGACATATAAATTGATTTATCCACAAAACTATCGCGCTATTTTAAAAAACAAATTTAGCAGGACCATAGGAACACAATAGGCCCTGGCAGTATGGTTATTTCATTTTACTTTTGGCATGTCCTAACCCCTATGCGTTAGTTTGCATGCTGTAGAGGTGTGCAAACACTGAAAACTTAAAATAATTTGCAAGTAGTAATTGCTATCCAATTTGATTTGCAACATGCTTTTGCTGTTTAGGAGTATTAGAGTATGTTTTAACATTCACGGTGATAGAAGCGGCATTTTACCTTTTGTAGCAGGCAAACTATTGGCTTGGAGCAGCCACTGACGCTTTTGGACCAGATGCCAACAACTGCTAGCACGTCACTTGAAAATTAGAATTTGATTGCATTGCTAAATGAGTTCATGTCTGATAATGACGGAAGGTTCCTCTTTATTTCTGAAGCATATTACTTAGCATCATCTTCTATGGTAAAAATGGTTAGGGTGCAATGGATAGGCTTCTTTTTAGAAATAAGGCTCAGCTCAGTAGGTTCCACTGAAAATTGGTATTTAAATATGGTTGAAAAATGAAGCGTAATGCAACAGTTCAGTTGAGATAAAGCCCTCTTTCTTCCTTCCCCTTTTACACTCAATAGTTAATTTAGCCTGTAAATATAATTTCTCTAATGTCAGCAAAAATCAACTTATCTGCTAAAAAGACTATAAAAAAAAAATATGTACCCCAAGTTTTATGAACACCAAACTCAAGATTCTAATATCATAAACTGTGAAAACAACCAGTCATAAATACTATGAAAACCTCCTCATTCTTTTGTGTTTTAAAAGTGACATTGTGCTTTAGCGGCGTTCAAACCAGAGTAGAGTCAAAATTAAAGGAGTCATGAAACGACGGGTTGAAACGGGCATGACTTTGCAGAGGTGGAACGGACGTAGTCCGGACCAAGTATACTCGCACAGACTGCCACTTATTCAGAAACTTCTTTGTCGCGGCGAACTTGCGAGGACAAAAGGGGTCTATTTCTTTCAGTCTTGCCTTCGCAAAGCTTGACGATGCAATTGTGGGATTGGAACCACCCGCCCGAAGACAATCAAGTGCAGCTCATGGATTGGGCACAAGAACTGCGCTAGCACTCGACTTCGACTCGTAACAATCAATGCCTCGGCAAACACTTGGGTAGTGGCTCGTGTCCAAGCAGTGCGGTGATGAGAATAGCCGAACTCTAACAATGCCTGGAGCTCAGCACGCGTTTTCTACTTTGCCAACCCCAGCGCGTGGCTATGATCAACGTTGGCGGCATAGGACAGGCACCAGGCCACGTGGTCACTTGTTCGGGCTCCAAGTTGAGGGAATGAACGATGCTCATATTTCTCTAACCTTTTTGGCGACTGCCACTGCCTAGAAAGAAAAACTAAGGCAAGTTTATTCAGTTATTAATGCTAGGGAGCGATTCTAAGTAGTATTTAGCGAAAGTAGAAGTATTGTTTCATGATTCCTCGAACTACCCTTCCAATTGACTGCTAACTACCTTGACTACCGGATTTCTTCAAATATAGACCCAGGTTTTTTCTCTTTTCCTGGCACAGCCTTTTAAAATTAGGGGTCAGTCTATAGTCAAGACCAAAGAAGGTTGACCTGTAACGGTACCGAGCATAATTTCCGAGTCAATGGCGCTAATCCAGGCCCTCGCCCATGTTAGCCGCCTGCTCCTAGCACTCCGGTGCGAAGCGGTGAAGCTCAACGCGTGCGCGTTGGCGTGAGGCCAAAGGGCGACACGAACGGCGCAAGTGCCATGGTACACTGCAGCCACGGCATAAAGGCATGCGACAGATATATTATCGGGGGTAAAAGACCCTGGTTCTGGCTGATAAATGCAGCTGCCATCCCACTGTTAGCTTGGCCTAGCTCGTTTGTCTATACTTGTTTGTCTTGCCTCGGCGGGATCTGTAATGGATCCTCAATACGTGACTTTTGCGAGCGCAGCGAGCGCACGGGGTTGCGGGCCCAGCTTGTTTACGCTCCGCGAGAGCTTGAACTGAACTTCGCCCATAGCGCCTGCCTGGGAAGAAGACACCGCTTGTGCCTGCGTGGGAAGAAACCGCTCGACAGAACGACCGGAGGCACGCCACGTATACGCACGCAAGAAACCCTGTAATCAGAAGTTAATCTAGTATAATAAACGCTATTTCATTTTCTCCAATCAACGTCGCATTAATAAATAACGGAACGTCAGCACCCGGCCACCGCTGACATGGCGCAGTCGACAGGATCCACAGAATCCAACGAAACCGGTGACCACGCCCTGATCACGGACTCCAACAAGGGAACGGAAACCACCAATCAGGACACAATGCGTCAAGAGATACAAGATATCAAAATTCAACTCCAGCAACTAATCCTGGCCTTCAACAACGCACTTTCAACACGACACCCAGAAAATGG